AGCTAGTCTAGTTAGAAGGTTGGCAGTACCTGGGACTCTGGTTGCTTTCTTTGAATCCATAACCTACTTTGTCTTGAGCAGATCAAAAGGCTTATAGGAGAAATACAATCCAGAGAAACTCGGCCCATTTCATGGACAAGAAGAACAACTAAGTGTACAGACAAAATTTCACATACCTGCTAGATACATTTATTGGTTGGAAATACTACAAGCTTAGCAAAAAAGATAGTTCTATCACTAATTCTAATAATTTCAGAATTAATTAAATAAATTTTTCCCACAGAAATGCATGAAATCAAATAGTAATTTTAGAGATGAATTTATATAGAAATTTCAGAAAAGTGAGTACAATTCCATAATTATTCTTTTGGATGCATCTAAAGTACTTATTTTATAGTTCATTAATGCTATGAAAAATTTCATACGTTACAAGTGGACATTATTTTTTTTCCCCCTGACATAGCACCAGTTTATTCCTGTATTCAACTTTGAATGAAATTATTGTATCTATTATGTTTGACTGGACATACTTAAGTGAGATATTATAAAATTTATAGTGTTAAAGTAGGGGAGGAAAAAATTCCTACCACTCTGTATGGATTTCAGGCTCTAAATTCTGGATCCTGGGAATTCTGGTCACAGACGAGTTATGTAAGTTGCTCAAAGCTTGTTGGAGAAAGGCCAGAACTAGAAACTCTGTAGCATCCAGACCCCATCAGATTCTGGCTAAAACTGCTCTGACCTCTAAACTTAGTAGTTTATTAAGTTCAATGTTTTTGCTAGTTAATGGGAAAAATAGATCCATGAAAAAAGTCTTATATTCAGTATATCTGCAACTACATTAGAATCCAAGTGAGCTTAATGAAAATTTTGATTATTATAACTGTGAATCTGATTACTTCCATTTTTCCTTCATTATATAATACAAACTCTTAATGATTAAAATTCTAATTTTAAAAAGTTGTAGCTCTAGTGAGACTTGGAAAGTGCCAAGGATACTTACAATGTATATTTTTTAACATTTGGTGCAGTATTTAATTACAAAATACTATATTTTCACTGTGAAATTTAAAAATGGCCTCCAGAGTTTTGCAAACTTGCAAAAAAAAAGCTATTTAAAGAAACTAACGTGAGAAAGATTATTATTTTAAGAATGAGCTTGTAAGTTTTCTTATGAGAAAAGAAGCAGTTGAAGATTTTGCTAATTGGTTTCATTTGCTTTGATTACAGACTGTTTAGTTAAACAGATTTGGGGTCTCTAAAGCTTAGACCCTTTATTTTGTCTTCGGTGACAAACTCGTGAGACAAACCTTGCTGAAGCCAGAGAGAAAAGGCTCAGCAGAAGATCCTGCATGTGGAAGTAACGAAAGGAGTGTGGAAGTGCAGAGAGAATGAAGCCATCTGACATAGGACGTGGTGCCACGTGCGTCTTCCAAAGTCACTGATCCCGAGTCAAAAGTCAACCCACAAGGAGACAAGACTTTTTCTAAATAATCTTTTGCAAAACTCCCATCTTGGGTCAGACACCTGCCAGAAGTCCCCCCCTTTGTCTCTGGTGTCACTGGCACCCCAAGAAAAGCCGTCATCATCCAAAGTCTGGACAGGTCCGCGAGGTCCTTGGTGTGCAGATTCTCTTGAAGCGAGACACGCATGCAAGACAGCTGGGGGTGCAGATTGCCACGTGATCTGCAGGAGACTGGTGTCCCCTGAGCCTCCACCCCAGCAAGACCTACCCAGAAGCAGAAGCGAGGCTTTCACCAGAAACAGAACTCCAGAAGGTCGGGGGCTGAGGCCTGGGGCTGGCACACCATCCCCCACTGCAGAGTCACCAAGGACTCAGGAAAGGCTCAGAGTGAAGTGATGCTGCAGATGAGGCCATCCCAGGGGCTTGCCTCTGCCCTCCACGGGCCCACGTTCTGCGTAGCTTTGTTACCATCCCGTCACCTAACTTGGCAGCCAGAGAAGGGGGCTAAGCCAGGATGAAGTCCTGCAGTCTCCACAGCACACCGCTGTGTGCTGAGCTGAGCTCCACCAGCAGAGGCCGACGGGAAAGATGAAACACTGCAAGAGCTCCAAGCGGCTCCAAGTGGCTGAAAGGAGATGCCAGAAGCAACAGGAGCGACAGGGGTGACACATCATAGTTGCTGCATACACTCTGGCGGGGGGAGGGGGAGAGCCCTGCAGATGGACCCCACTGCTGTTCTCCTGCCGGGTAGGGGCTGTGGTGTTGCGTGGTTAGATGGTTAGATGGGGCGGCATTGAGGCAGGCAGCCACAGGCCCTGAAAACCGTGGCTTTAGCCACAAACCAAAATGACAGTCTCTTCCAATGGGTCCCGGCTGGGAAGACCCCGGCTACAGGGCACGAGATGCCCCCAAGCCCATGGCCACCTGGCCACCTGCTAGTTAAAGCTTAGTGAGGACAGCTGGTCAAGACCTGCAATCAACAAGAGTAATTGTTTTACCAGGGATGCATGCAAAAAGGGGACGGCCACTTTGGCACAGCGGGGGCACGTTTCAGGTCGCATCTGTGCCATCAGATTAGAAAGTGGCGTGCAGACCACCCCCTCAACAAGTCCTTGTACTGACTCCGAGAGACAGGAAAGCAATTCTACAAACCCACGTGCATGGCGATGCGGGTCGCGTAGAAGGAAAATGTGTCAGCATCAAAATGCTGAAGGTGTTTGTTTAAGAAGAAAAGGGCATCCAGGGAGAAAGCGCATTTTAGCTTTTTCCTGTCTCGCAATTCCGCTTCCTCAGCAGGTGTCCCTGGGGTTGCCCTGAATTCAGGCCGAGAAATGGCCTCCAGGCAACTCCAAGAGACCTGTGGGGTGCAGAGGGCAGGATGTTTGCAGCATTGCCGAAAGCGCTTGGGATGAGACCAGTGCGCAGAGAGATGAAGCTCGGAGTGGCTTGTGGGAACCACGGGCCACTCTGAAGGAAATGGACCGGCAGAGGTCAGCACAGGGGCCTTCTCTGCCCCGCTCACCGTGCCCATGAGCCACCACCCATGTGTCCCTGCAGAGCGGAGACGAAGTCCCTCTGTAATGTGCTCATTCGTATTCACAGCAGAGAGAAGGTGACGCTGGTCACAGGCAGGTAAGCCCCTGTGGATGGCACAGATGCATAGTGCCTGGGAAAATGCCTCTGAGCCAAGCACAGGGAGGGCGGGAGCGGGGTGTATGTGCGCACAAGAAAGCAATGCAGCCCTGCAGCTCGTGGGTCCGTGATCTGGGGAGGCAGGTTAAATAACTGCAGGGCTCAGGCACAGGAAAATGGAATCCTAACAGGGCTGGGCACCAAGTATGTTCCCTACTGAACTGCCCAGAGCCTCTACAAACTCTGAGAAAGAGAGGAAAGAACACAATCACCTGGGCTGTCCTTGAGCACTGTGTGGTGAATTCACTGCTGCACAGACCATGTGTCGTGCTCAAGCACCTGGTGTGTTGACTCAGCCTCCTTGGGAGGAGCACTGCCTTGGTGTGTGAAACTACGTTCCACAGGGCAAATGCAGAGGGCAGATGGGAGCCACAGAGGCACAGCAGCCACCCGAAACCCTGACATGCCCAGCACAGCCCTGGGCACAGCAGGGCGGGGGTCTGCACCTGGTGCCCAGGGGTCTGGGAGAGCCCATCTCCCTGGGGCCTTGGGCACAAGCACCTTTGGCTTAAAGGTCAGAATGGAATCCTAGCAGCACTTTGCTTAGCTGAAAGAGTGAACAAATGCAGGATGCTTAGAGAGAGGGTGTTGCATGCCAAATCACAGGACAAGCTCGCTGGGGCAGCTGCTTAAGTTAGTTGGGAAAGAAAAGGAGTCTGGCACCCATGGTTCAGAAGAGGTCTTCGATTCAAAATTGAGCTCAGGGTCAAACCTACAAAATATAGCCCTCAACTGTAAGAAATGACCGACTACCTCCCGCCACCTTTGGTCAGAGTAGGAAAGACTGTGGTTACACGTTTACAGGGTGGGCTGTTCAGTTCAACAAACGGGGAGAGCATGGGGGTCAGGAGGGGGGAGCTGGTAACCTGTGTTCTGTAGCTGGGACCTATTCCTTTCAAGGTCCGCTGTTACACCTGAGAATTTCTAGGTTCTTCTATGCCATGAATGAATATAGTTTTTCAAGACTGTGTACTACTCCACCTGTAGAATGAAAGCTCATTGTGGTTGGAATAGATAAATCATCTAGTCACATAAGGTATCATTAATGAACAGCTGATTTCTCTAAATTTCACTTTTTTTTTGATCACACTCAGTGGCAGTGCTCAAGGATAACTCCTGGTGGGGCTTGGGGGACCAAGTGCCTTACCCATAAGCTATCCTATCAGTCTAACCCTCTTTTATGTATTTTTATTGTAGGTCTGGGGATCAAATTTTGGACCACCTTACACATGCAAAACAAGTTCCCTCATGTTGAGCTCCATCCCTGACCCCTTTGACTTTCTTTTAGCTTTCTTTTTTAATGACCCATTTTGTTGTCATTATATATTTATTTGGGAATGGTGTCTACACCAGGGGCCTATAGAAACTGTAATTTTATATGACCAGTTTTGCAATTCAGTACATAGATTAGTGTTAGATGAGGCAAAACTCAGACAGTCATGAAGCCAGAAAGAAAAAAAAAGATGATGGCACACGTGTGTGTGCATACAGAACTGGCCAGAATTCAGCATAGGGGCTGAAAATGCAATGACGCCCACAAGCACACTAGATGAGGGTAAGAAGATGCCTCATGTGACATGACACTGCCATCACTTGTGACCATTGCAAATGTTCCCCCATTGCATTTGGGAATACAAACTGTTGTCTTGGCAGGCTTTATAACTGTGTGTAATGCTTATGCAATTTGAAACTGTCTCCCCTGCCATCACTCATTTACGAGAGTATATAATGTGGTAGAATATACCAGGTATTATATCTACTTTAAAAGATAAAAAAGAGTATCTTGTAGGGACAACTACACAAGCTTTGAGTTAAAATTTTCCATTTCTGGTTTAAATCATACCTTTCACATCTTCGTCTTCAATTGTTGTATTTGAACTCTCAGTTGACTCCTGTTGAGAAGAAAATGTATTTTCAGTTGCAAATGGCACTATGATATTTTCATAAAACTAGGGGCGAGTGATGGGTACATCATGCAAAATTATTCAGCAGGCTGTGAGCATATACTGACATGCAAATGGACAAATACACACCATGGTTTTAACAAAAATAAAATGCCACAAACGTTTCAAAGAATCAAAAAGAGGTACTCTGGTTGCCTGATCTGGGAAACAAGATAAATCCTGGGTGACTTGGAGAAGGAGCTTTAGTCTGCAACTTATTTTAAGAACTGTGAAAGGCAGTGTCAGCATAGGTGTGATTTAAAAATGTATTTATGAGAAATTGCATATGGTAACCTAATGAATTTGAGCCTTAGAACAAAATACCTTTTATTCCAACTAATCACTAAATAGTCCTTCTTTAGGATGACATATTATCACATACAGAATTCAGTCTGTTGGCCTTTGTGGAGAGCACTTCTCTGCATTGTTTGATAAAGGAACTAAACTGAGATAAACTGAGAGTGCTTTTAAGAAGAATTTCCATGTTTGTGATGAGCACAATGGAGTTACATGATTTACATTCAACGACAATTACATTTTCCATTCATTTCTAAATTAGAACTGGCTTTAATGGAGAATGCGGATTTAAAGGAAACCCAATCCCATAATGAAAAGACAGTCATTTCATTATAAAATTATCTGTGAAGTTCAACAGTAATATGCACACTTAGAAAGAAAGGACACATAACTGCTAATATTAAGATAAATTCATGAGATTTTGGGAAACATTTTCTAATAATGAAATGCTAACAAAATACTTCTAGCAAAGAAGTTTGGTAACAGTCATAAACAGGCATAATTTTATTCTCTGATAAAAGGCTGTTGTTGAAAAAAAGAATGGAAGCAGACTCTCAATCAGTAACTGTGAGTTCACTGATGCAAAACAGAATTTGGAAAATGATACAAAAAACCAGTGTACTTTTTAGGGATTCAATATTAAAAAAAAAAAACTCAGTGTTCATGAGTAGCAAATCCAGTATCTAAGCCAAAGGGAGAGACGAATCAAAGATGTACCCGGAGCCTCCATACACACAAAAAACCAAAGCCAGGCTCTTCATGCACCTCTCATTGTGACCTGGTGTTAAAATTTCAGCTCCAGAGGAAGGTAAACCCATGCACTGTAAAAATGAATCGAGGCATGTAAGCGGGGAGAATCATGCAGTAACTCTTACAAACGACAAAGCTAGAACTATCCGAGGTCCACGCCAGCTCTTAGGCTTCCTTTTCCACTTGCTAATGACATTGAAGAAAAAACTGTTCTCATCTGTCATGCTTCCAACTACCTCAAGGGTTTCAGGGCTTAGAACATCTTAAGTGTCACGACTATAAAATCTCATTCTAAATAACATAACACTCTTTGGTTTTCCCTTGTATGATTGAAAAATTCTGATCAATTAAATGTCAAACCAGAGGAAATGTGGGTTTTGAGAGTTTAAGGAGAAGCAAGACCTGTGACTTCAGGATCTTTCCTCTCCCTGAAAGGTGATGTCTGAGAAGGAATGCATCAGAAACATGAAATATATTCAGAAAATGTCTGTTTCCCTATTACAGACATGTACACACTGTTATTTAGTTAGCCTGTTGTGTGAAAAACACTGAACAATGAATGGGCATCATTACGGTCTTCTTCCAGCATTCGCCTTTAAATGTTAGCGAAATGCATGTAACTCAAACCTGTTTCACCAGAGGTGAAACTCCCCGATTCTCAAGTTCATGCCAAACAACAGAAACACCAATAATGGGAGGTAAAAGAAACAAACACTGGACCAACAGAGTAAATCAAACTCAAAGCAACGTGACATTTAAACAGAAATGCCAATAGGAACTCAATTTGGTATTTGGGAAGATGGTAGAATGCTAGATAGAGCAAGAAATTCTAAAATGGCATGCAGAACACAGCTACAGAACATTGCACAGACAGACGGGCATGGGGTGGGAGGAAATCAGATGGAGTTGCTTAAGACACACAGTCATCTTGACAAAGACCACTGAATTGGGACAGATTAGGTATTCTTCACTTTTTTTTTAAGAGCTCATTCATTTTGTTTTCCAAGAAATACACATAAAGTTCTAGATTGATTAGGCGCAGAGGAAAAGTGTGTTAGGGAAAGAAAAAAAAATTTCAAATAATTTTTTCTTCTCTGATTTTTTTTTTTTTGGTGGGGGGCGGTAAGGGATTAATCTCGCATGGGCTGTTTTGATGAGATGTGTAATCTTGTGAAAGCGAGAGGATGTTGATTCTTTCTGAATACCTTGTTTCCATCAGGGTTGTGGATTACAGTAGTTTGGGGCTCCTGAATGAGAACAAAATAGAGAAAGAAACAGTTCGCGTTGGTAAGTACATTCTTCCTAGGGAGAAGGGCAGAGCAGAGGGTGTCAGCCGACAACACGGGAGAGTGAGGCACTGAAGCGATGTTAAACTACTGTCAGAGGCTGCAGCCGGCAAACGTCTGAGGGCAGCTCTCCCTGGCGGAGACCACGAGACAGGACCCTGCACCACCCCACAGCAGCATGCAAAAGACCTTATTCGTGACCCGGATGTAGACAGACCAGGCTTTGGAGACCCGAAGAGGCACTCACTGTTTCACAAGGTCCTCTCCCAGAGAGAAAGTCCCTGTCCTCTTTAACGAGGACCCTACTGCTGTGTGTCCCTGGGAAAACTGGCCAGTGACCAGAGGAGCACATCTCTCCGGGACTGCTGCCAATTCCTTGGAAAGATTTTTTTTGTTGTTATTGTTAAACTGTATTTCTTGGAAGACTGATGATGGCTGAGGCATACTTAAATAGCCTTGGAGAACAGTTAGAAGCATTGGATCACATCTAAGAAAAGATACTGTAAAGAGGGTAATGGCCAAGTCTAAGAGGAATTCTCGGGAACATCTGAATAGCTCTTGTAATGGGGTCTATAAAGTATCACTACAATTGGAGATCTTTTCCTGTTTAGTTCCATGTTAATTCACATCAGAAAGAAAACACTTTCTTCCTGAATTATACATACAGAAGACTTGGTTGTAAAATCATGTTTTTCCCTAAAGAAACGAAGTTTACCCCTCACATACTTCTGGAAAATTGACAAAATCTTCTCATATAGACAAAAACCAAAAAAAAAAAAAACCCCAAAAAACAAAAAACAAACAAAAAAAACCCTAAAACAAAACAAAAAACCCAAACCAAAAATCAATTAAACCCCCTACTGTGTCTACACAGCTTTGAGAGTTCCTCTATTCCATTCAGAGTTTCTCCAGCTATAATCACCCTCTCCACTCTAGAATTTCTTATTTCTTTCCCTGAGTAGATATATGATCAATGTTATGATTTTTTTCGAGCAGATAACTGTTTGTTTGTCTGTTTGTGTCATATCTGGCAGTGACAGGTATGTGGTATGTGGTGCTCGGGATCGAACCTGGGTCAGCTGTGTGCAAGGCAAAAGCCTTACTTGCTGTACTATCTCTCTGGCCAAATCCAACAACACACAAACAGTACAGTGGATAGTAAAAATATTTAAAATTAAAGAAAATTAAGGAACCAAAATATCAACTCAACTGCAAGAAAGCATTATGGGAGGTGAGTGGCTGAATGCTAGTATTCAAATTTTCATTTTAAATGATGTTCGAATTTTAACCTCATACTACCTTCAAATATTAAACTGGTTTCAGTTGTCAGTCATGTGACTTTGAAAGGGACAAATCTGGCTTCTATTGATAACTCCAAGTTCAGTGCTGTCCATGGGCATTCTCTGGTTGGAAGTGAAACAGCGATCGTTTGAAACAAAACAGGCAAAAAGCTATCCATTATCAGTGCCTCTTGGTCCCAGAAAGTGAGGTTGTACAAAGCCCAGCTGCCTTGGAGGAAGAGGGAGAGAACTCTGAATAAGGTCTGCTTGGCTGTTGTCTAGCAATAACCCCTTAGCTCTCCTTGATGTCCGGCTTGGCGATGGGGGAGGAAGATGCTGCGGTACCCATAATCAAGAGCCATCATCATAGGCAGAGCTAAGGGCAACCAAAGCGCATTCGACTGTGCTTCTGAGGCGGCATGCAATAGTTTCCCAGAGCGACTGCGGTGCCTGGGATGGGGGTCAGCAATGGGATGAGATCAGTCTCATGTTAGAAACACACTGCCAACTGCCTTCACAAACGGTGACGGGGGGAATGAACCGATTTCATCTAAGGAAGCGAAAACAAAAACCAACAAAACCTTTATATACGTATGTATCTATAGAGTGAAAGCAAATGAGAGAAACAAACAGGAAAAGAAAAGAAAAGAAAAAAAACCCAGTCAAGAACTGAAGAAAGGGTTACAAAGAGTGGAGGTATACCAGCGCCGGGGTAGGGACATTTTCTTTGGGGCTGGTTACCACGTTGGTTTTGTTGTTTATCTGTAGGTTGCAGAAAATAGAAACAGAGATGCCTTAAACCCCAGGGTACCCAATGTCTCTACACGCAGCGTGTCTACAAGGAGGGATCGACGTGAAAACCATCATGGGCAATGAGCAACACAGGCTCTGGGGGCTCAGGGGAAGGTGCAGTGGCCCTGGGCTCACACACAGGCCAGGGCCGAGTCTGGCCAGTGGGATGACCATGCCGACAAGGTGACTTCCTCTCAGCACACAGACCAGGTGTCAGCACGCGCCATGAAAGCCACCAGAGTCTGTTTCCCAGCTTCCAGCCCGCACCCTCACTCCCCTCCTAGCCTCAGTCCTCAAGTCTCTGCCCAGAGTGTCTCCAGGGTGCCCCTGTCACCCTGCTCAGCACATACGCAATCACAAGCTGAGACCTTCTGATGCAGTGCGGGCTTTTATTCTCATCTTTTGGTTGGTTTTCCTAAGGGTCAAGTCTGGGTCTCCTTTCAAAAACACATCCTCAGTTGGAAATGGTCAGATGGACCCCTTGGTTAACACTGTGAATGGAAATGTGTCTTGGAGAGGAAAACGCTGTTGTCGGTGGAAGTATTCCTGCTGGCAGTGGAGACGGGGTGGGGTGGAAGCTTTTTCCTGCTTTAACCCCACTGGGGTTGTCCTTAAAGGTGAGCTCATTTCCACGACGGGAGCCACACAGGCAGGAAGGCACCCGAGGTAAATGTTGTAAAGGGTCTGCAGAGCAGATAGATGAGAGGCCAATGGTGGCCTACAGCTGTGGGGGTAGCCTAAAATGCTCACCATCAACCATCATTTTAAGTCACAAGTGACAGAATTTACATTGGGGTCATCAACAAATACAAATTTATATTCACTTTCTAGCATTCTATCATCTAGATATTTTGTACATTATCAAAAGGGAATATATTCTGTATACAATAATATAGTCTAGATGTTCCTTCATCTATATTGAAAAGAAACATAAATAAATGACTGCCCCCCCGAATGCATTTAATTGTTTATATCTCTAGCTATTCTTTCATTTTGTATTTGATATCTGTGTATCCCTTGAAATTAGTATTGAGAGGAAGAAGAAGGTGAAAGCAATACACTTTGGTCTGTGATTTTTTTTTTATATCGACATTCCTGTGGTTATTGGGTTTTAGTACTTTTTAAGTCAGCTCGGACACAGTGCTCCGTGTGTGACATGCAGGGAAGTGAGACAACATTGGTGCCCTTCCCTTAGAAAACACTCTAAATGTTAAACCATGTAATTTTTTTCAGATGTTCAAGTTTTTCTTTCAAGTACCCAAAATTTAACAAAATATATGGTGCCACAGTCAGACTTTGTTAGTATAAAAGACATGAGAAAGGGGAGGGACATTCCGACTCCGACTGATTCCTATCCGGATTCCTATTCCGACTGAGGACCCAGTGAAGCAGGGCTTCCTACCCAGGAGCAGAGGAAATTACAGCTCAAGTCCACATGTACTTAATGGGCTCCAGTGCAGTGTTTATCAGTGGATACAAAGGGGGAGGAATATGCTGAGGTTTCGGTTTCTGCTTTGAGGACGATTTGCTTTTTTCCCAGCTAGAATGTACTTGCCAAGAATATTTTTATGTTAGTGAAAATGTCTCTTGTACACAGGCTGGCTGTGAGAGCATGCACACGCATGCCCTCATGTTTCTGCACACACTCAGACACGCTGCCAGCCTCCTCTCCATCTGCCCTGGCCGAATCACCTGCCTTTGGGGACAGGATGGCGAGCGCAATGTCCTGTTTAGTGGCACTATTTAAACAGCACTTTAAATTTGTTTTCCAATGCTGTTAAAATTAGTTTAATAATTTGGGAAAAATTGAAAAGGTACTCATAACAGTCATTTACTGGTAGAATTTCTAAATTAAGGCTAAAAGGGGATTTCTCTCAACTATATAATTTGATTCTCTCTCTCTCAATGATTCCCTGAAATATTTTAATGAGGTCTGGAAAAGATATTCCATTTTCTTCTGGAGGAACTCCACTAAAACAGATCCACTGGAAAAAAAATCACTAGTACATCACCTATCACTATTAATAAATTTCACAGTGAATCAATTATTTTAGTCAATCTGATTATTATTGTAAAGGAATCGTGTTTTGTTTCTACTTCTTAGTTTCAAGGAGAAAATTCAGCTGTGTCAGAATAGAGATGAGGGTATGAAATCTTTGATATTATTAGTTCGGGGCCACATCCTTCGTGATTAAGAAATGATCTCTCTGGCTCCAAACTTTTACACAATTAAACAAAAAATAGAGTTTTCAAAAAACTAGTCATGACTTGGTGAACACTAGCACTGTGTTTTTATTAACTCTGGCCTGTCACGCACCTATACTTTTTCTACTCACACTAACATAGGTCTATGAGATTTTGGTAAGTCCTATGTGTGAGTTTTCACGGGAAAAGAAATCTGGCAGATAAAGGTTCTCACCATCATCTGAACACTCGAACTGGATTTCCTTTTCTGAATTGACCAGTCAAGGAGAAAGGAAAAGAAAAACAAATATGACCTGTTGAAATTTGAGAGTATCAAAGCATGGAGCATAGGGCAAGTCTGTCTTTAAAGGGGAGCTATAGGTTGACTGGAAGAAATATCTTCTGGAAATATTCCTTCCTATCAAAATCTTAGTGAAAACAAATTTCTCCATAGCACTGTGAGCTCTGCTTCCCTGAACAGCATAGAAAAAAAAAAAAAAGAAAACAACACAGGAGACTGAAACATTTGGAAAATTTGCAACTCTACAGTTTCTACTGGTGATAAGTTGGGGGAAAGGCAGGCATAAATGATCATCATTGAGATTGGAGTGGAATAAACTAGGAAGAAATAAGACAGCTCTACAGACTGAGGAAAACAAGCTCGAGGGCATCTTAAGGGAAATCACCAGGTCCACATAGCTCTGGAAACACCCCCATCACACACAGATAGGTAGAACAAAAATGACTGGTCTTGAACACTAGTGACCAATGGACCTATGTCAAATTTGCAAAAGGAATGGACCAGCTGACTTTGGGTCAAGTTCAAATATCAGGCTATTAACTAATTCCCAAGAATGGTGAAGGATTCATGAGGAAAGTTTGCATCTGCCATGGGAAGAGAAAGAAAAGTATTAAAAGAATAAAGCACTTCAGGAAATTCTCTGGAAAGACAACAAAGGTAATGCAAAGTTCAATCAAAGGTACATTCCCAGGAAACAAAATCAAAGTTGATAGAAAATAAGCTGCATGATTTTAGGAAAGTCAAAATATTGGGCTGCTATCTGTCCGGAAAAAAATTTCTGATTGTTCAAAATACCCTTCTTGAGCTTCTGTCAAGGTCTTATGACAGATACACAGGGGCAGTGATGACCTTGGGAAAACTATTTAAGCAGAAGCATTTCATCATTTGACATTTATTTGCCCAAACCCAATAATTTAGGATTTTTTTAGCCTCTGCATTTTAGCAAACTTCAAGAACATGGCATAATCACTTGGAAAAGCAGTTTTCATAGTTTTCAGGTTACCACGAAAAGTCTGGGTTTAGAACTCTAGTAAAACTGAGTGAGGCATTCAGTTTTATACCAACTCCATATGAAAACATTAATTTGTTATGGTTGATATTCACTCCTTGGGGAGGATATGCTTATCTTGGGGTACTGAATTTTATACTTGGACTGGCAACATTTATCAGCGACTTTTAAAAAATAAAAGTAGCAAACACCTAGGACTAAAGAGTTAACTTCTGAACACAATCAAGCATCTGACAAACTTACCTTTACTCCATCTGGTTTCTTCAGCAGACTCTTGGCTGCTGTAAAATGAGAGTGACACCAGTTTAGCATGTTGTTCATAGAAATGGGGTCACCAAATGTTTCCTTCTACCACCTACGCTGAGTAATGGCTGACATACGCCAAGTTACCAAAGTCACACTGATGAGCGCGAGCTTACAGGACAGTGAAATGCAGTATCACTTTTCTTAGTTTTGCCACATCAAATTTAGAACTAAATTATTTAGTTCATAGCATAAACTCGAACGCTTGGCCAGTTAAGTCACTGGACCTTTAGTTCTCTGTTGGATTCGAAAAGGATACTGGAACTTTAACTGGACTATGCATTTTTAATCCAGAAAGTTGATTTCTGTCTTGAGACATCAGCTGACAGATTGGATTACATGTTCATTCACACCAGTGTGGGGTCATGTCAGTTCTGCCACGGAAGTTTGCCTCTCTCAAGGTTTGAAACAAACTCATTGCTGAGAATTTGCTCTGGCTAGAGAGTTTCTTCTTAAGATCAGATTGTTTGATTTTTTGCTAGAAGTATCAATAACTATTTAAAATGAAGTGATGTTATTGACCTAGAGCAAATTTTTTCAGTGGTTATCATCTGACCCTTACAAAAGAAGCATTGTGCATTCTTTTATGCTTCAAATGTCAGAGAACTCCTAGAGTACGTGACTTTGTATGAGACCTCATTTTTGCCTTTTATTGAATGTCTTGAATATATGCAAAGTGAAATAATCCTTTCAAAAATATACTTATGAATAGGGACACATGCAGTGAACAAATTACATAACTGTCCATAACATAATTAGTATGCCACAAGTAGAACATTCACAAATATGTGGAACAAAGTACACATTTATGCTTCTACTTAATGCTAATTATATCATATCGGCATAGAATGTGGCAACTGAAACGAACACCTAGCTCTACGAGAACTGAGCACCTAGCTACAATGAACATGTAATTTCCTGACATCAATGGGGGGCATTATTTTGATACCACTTTGGTATCCTTTTAAACTTCTTTAAGAGATACACAAAAGTTAATTTGACTTAGTCTTTAGCGTCAAAGCTATTAAATTATCGTTAATCAGGATTGTAAGAAGAGTGGCCTTAGCTAGAATGGCATTTGCCCGGAGCTCTAAAGCAATGTTAAGTAAATCCTGTGGCAGTTAATAGGTTAGAAAGCGAACTCAGAATAACCAGAATTGCAAGAGCAAGCAAAGAGAAGACGATGATCTGGGAAAGCAGCGATTGGGCCTGGGAGATGCAGAAATGTCCCTTTTGGTTACTGTCCACCTTACCTCACAAGAAATACATTCCACATAAAGGGAGAAAAGAAAAAATAAAAACAACTTTATAACCATATAGTTATGGACAAATTACTTTAAAGAGCATGTCTGGCAATGAAACAGAATGAACAAAATACTCAAAACTTAAAATGCCTATCAACTACAAGACAGAGCTACGTCTAAGGCTCTTCAGAGGGCGCTGGAGTGATGGATTAACACAGAAGTTTGCTGGTCATGCTAACACATTCAGAAACAATTTTAAAATTTGCATATTAGTCATGAGTTTTTAGTTTACACAATGATGAAAGGAAGATGAAGTAAACAAACAGATTCTCTTCATGGGTGCATATTCACTAGCCCGACTCATGCCTAAGAGTGTACATATTTAACACTTCAGTAAAAGGACACAATTTCTATTCTAGAGGGGTTTATTTATTTATTTCAAATTAGTCATTAACAATCTATACTATGTAAACCATTCTCTTAGGGATTCACTAATTGCTGAGTCATGTGAGATATGACTCCATACAGTCTATATTAGTTGATAGCTAACGAGATGACAATGAACTCACCTAGAAAAATGACAACTACATTAACTGTTCTCAAAACAGGTAACATGACAAAGTCAATACAAAGTTTTAATACACCAAACAGATTGGACAAAATACATACAGTTGACTAACAGAGCCCCTCAACTGGAAGTATTACTCATGATACTGTTGTTGGTGCTTAACACTCAGGGGAAGTCTTTGGAAAACCTTAGAGGGTTTCACAGTATCCAGAACTAAATACAATGGGAGAGAGACAAAAGGTGACCACTTAATATGACTGGAAACAACAGCTAGAAACAGGAAGAATGCAAACATGAGCCAAGGAGCAGGGTGATATTTTGGGCCCACTTGTCTGATGACTGTTCTGAGTACTGAGCATCAACCTGTCTGCTGACCACTTCCTCCCTGTCCACGAGACTGGCCAGCAGTTACCAAAAGGGGACGTTTAGGAACTGCCCACTGCAAAAACCTATCACATAAAGGGGCTCCAAAAACGCATATGATTTCTGGAAATCCGATATAGATCTAATTTGGAGAGTGCCTCCTATAGAAAATGAAGCTTTTGCTTCATTTAGCCCTTTTTGCACCAAAAACTTGATCTCAGACTGGAGCCATTTTGAGGAACACCTGTTCTCTGATGCCAGTTCATGGTCAATTTTCTATACAGTTCCTTGTAAGTTTAGATACCTTCCAAAGTGGTTATTTTCATAGCCGAGACACTACTGTACTTTTCAAAGAACTCAGGCCTAAGTATGGGATTCTTCCATTACAGTGTTTTTTTTAGACATTACTAATTGCTAAAATATCGATGAATGCTGAGCGTTAGGGTGACAGAGCCCAGTTTTCCAAAACTCGGGTGCTCCCCAGCCCTGCAGTGTGGTGGGGGCTCCTGGGAATTCGGGTGAAGCAACAGTGAGGACCTTCAGCCCCCTCAGCAGCCAATGGCAGCTCCTACTGTGGGAGGAATTCATGCTATCCATTTGACACCCCAGTAAAGTGGTTGTCTTTTACTAGATTCTCCCTCATCCCCTGCCCCCAATTCTCTAAGACAACTGAACACAGAAGCTAAGAAGCAGAGCTGTTGACACGAGTACCTGAGAAATTCCGTGTAGCCAGCATGGTGGTCAAGATGGCGCCCTGGCAGAGAAACAACACAAAATTAACCTCAGAACCACCAGGCTGCCACTTCAGGGAGTTCACAGTGCAGGAGAACAACTCTTCCCCCATGCCTTCTTTCCAGTCAGGGCAATCTTGGCTTTCTGGTTTCCCGAGAGTAGCGTCCTCACGTGTGTGGCACTTGCCCCTCATGCTGTTATGCAGCTGCTGGAGCAAAGGCCCTGGCCCCATTCTGGCAGGAACCCTCACTTCCTGAAAGCTGAATTCCCGCCTCTGTTTCTTTTGTCTCAGGACCCAGCCTCAGACTCTAAAAGCCTTCCCTACATTGCTCTCCCGGCAGCCTCTTGTGACTCAACTCCCCCATCAACAGAGAGTGTCTTACTTTCAGTTTTCTCCGTGCATTGAATTTCTTCAAGCAGTCCACAGTTTCCTGCCTGTGCATCATGGAAGCCACAGTGGAACGTTGCTGTAAGAGAAGAAAGAGATGGTGAGCAGAGGAGACGCCAAATGGGCCGAATCCATAAAGCATGAAATGGGCTGGAGCTAGGGGACAGCAGGTAGGGCGCTGGCCTGGCATGTGGCCAACCAAGTTCAATCCCAGACACCCCATATGGTCACTTTGGGCCCACCAAGAGTACAGCTGGGTATGGCTCCAAAATAAAAATATTTATAAAAAGTATGGTATCTTATGTGAAAACATGGTAATGCAAAAATGTCTCTGCCAGGGCCGGAGTAGGTAGGGCACAGCGGGTAGGGCATTTGCCTTGTACGTGGCCAACCTGGGTTCGATTCCCAGCATCCCCTATGGTCCCCTGGGCACCACCAGGAGTAATTCCTGAGTGCCTGAGCCAAGAATAACCCCTGAGCATCGCTGGGTGTAACCCAAAAAAAGCAAAAAAAAAAAAAATTCTCTGCCATTTGCAAGTTTATGTATTCTTGTATCTTTATCCTATTCTTTATCCTATTCTTGTATCTTTACCTATTCTACAAGTTTTATGTCTTTGATAGAGACAACAGACCAGCAGCCAGTCTCAATTTCATCAAATCTTTGTCAAAGGTGCTTGCCCCTGACAGTGGACTTGCAGGAATGAGCATCGCCTGTTTCTGAGGGGCTCTGTGAAATTTATCATAGGTATGTGCATCGAAGGGAAGCACATGTGCATAGATGTATGTGGTTCAGTACTAATTACAGCTTCCAGCAGCCATACCTATGAAAAATGTATGCATCAGACACAGCAAGCAATCAACATTAAAATAGAAAGGCTGTAATGACAGAGATGGGAATGTGGCCTCTGAACAGCTGATTGGCGCGGTGGTTTCTGAACAAGCCTGGCTGCAGACCAAGTATAGTCAGAAGCGAGACCCTGACAGTGAAGAGGGAACCTCTGCCTTCCACATAGTCGTGCAGTGAAAGGCAGAATCTACCCAGGCTTCCTGGGACGAGGCTGCAGCCTTCAGCTATAGAGAGTACAGAGATGAGTGTCAGCAGTTTTCCCAGTGACCTCTGCTCACCTCTGCTGGATGGTGTTGCTGGTCTCTTTGGGTCCATATTTATTGGCCCAAAGTTAATGCTCATTCCTGGAAATTTACTGAAATCTCTACATTTCTGTGCCAAGTGTCACATTATTTTTCTCAGTACTTTGAAAGTAGATTTGATTTCTGATGGTCATTGTCGAAAACCTGACTCTCAATTTCCCAAACCTATTCTGTTTATAAACTGCTTGATGAGATGGAATAGAACTCTGCTCTTTTCTTTTGGGATAGAGTTCTGTCGCACTGTCCTCCCGTTTTTCATTGATTTGCTTGAGTGGGCCCAGTAACGTCTCCATTTTGAGACTTGTTGTTACTGTGTTTGGCATATTGAATACATCACAGGTAGCTTGCCAGGCTTTGCCGTGCGGGCGAGATACTCTTGGTAGCTTGCCGGGCTCTCCGAGGAATCAAACCTGGCTCGGCCGGGCTGGCTGTGTTCAAGGCAAACACCTTACTGCTCTGCTATTGCTCCAGACCGGGATAGAGTTCACACAGAGCTAATTGTTTAGCCTCTGTTTATGGCTTGTAAGTGACAGAATACACATTTCTTGCGCTAGTACAAGCAATATTTAGTGATCTCCGTGAAGCACATATTGCTACATGAAATAACCTTTATACCTTACAATGGAGGGAAGGGGGTTAAATATCTGAAAAAGATACCATAATACTTTAGAGGAATGTTAAATATCTACAAAAATTAATTCATTTTGAGTTTTGTCTTATTCTTCAAAAGTGATTTCTAATCCATGAAAAAATAATTTAGAGCATCTAATTCCTTCCCGAGCTCCCCGTGGTCTTTGTAGAGTGGCACTTACGCAGATCCAAGGGTGCTTAAGCGCCTCCGAGGCTGTGATGCGCTTGGCAGGGTTGATGGTCAGCATCTTATTGATGAGGTCTTTGGCTTCAGGAGTCACCGTGTCCCACTCCGGGGATGGAAACTTCCAGAACAAAAATTTAGAAAAGAATTTAAAACACAGATTCCTTCAGTTGGCCAGGGAAGTGGCAAATACATTTATTTTGTTCTTAAGTGGTGAATTTTGCCATGAGTTACTTTAAGTTAAATTCTGCAGAGAAATTAATATCCCTCCATCTGGATACTGATTATCCCCTGAACAGAGGAACTGCATATGATCTATGGCAAATACCTTTTCCTTTTAGCAGTTTGAGAATAAACTGTATTCCATTTCTCTGAGGGGGATCTTCACTTTGATCTGAAAATGAAGTTTATGCACTCGCTTTTCAAAAAAAAAGTGTTTTGCAATAAATCAAAAGCTGAAAGCATGTCACATGAAAATGTGTCATCATGCTGGGGTGTCAAGGTTCAAAACGACACATTATGTACTTTCAGAGTGCACAGGCAATAATTGGAAGGTGACAGCTTCAGTCCCCAGCCAGAACCGACCTCCAATTTGGCTGTCTGGAGTGCTGGTGTGAAGAGGAAGCAGAGGGCAGAAGCCTCGGCAGGATCTCACTCCATACCTCAGCGGGTTCACCGAAGCCAAACTCACAAAAATAATCCTAACTCTTCTTCGTAATCTTTCATAGGTAGATAGATACACAATGGTTTAGCAGAAATTCTATTCTGGATGGGTTGAGAAATAAGTATTTACATCATATGAGTATCTAAATAACAGACTGAATATTTTCTGAAGGTCAGTGAAATGTATTCAGATGGTAAACTTAAGATTTGGGTGCATAACCCTTCCTCAAATGAAAGCTCGTATAGAAACTCATTAGTGAGGCAAGATTCAACAAATCCAAACCACATAATGGGACCATGTTTCATTTGACAAATGGATTACTCAAGTATTGTTGGTATTAAAATTTAAAATACAGGATAGGCATTTTAGAAAGGAGGTCAAGAAAACAGGCTATGATCATCACTACAGCAGTCATCTTTCCATCTCACTGTTTTAAAATGCACCAAGATCAGAGCTGGAGCGATAGTAGAGTGGGTAGGAGGGCATTTGCCTTGCACATGGCTGGCCTGGGTTGTTCGATCCCCAGTATCCCAGATGGTCCCTGGAGCACCACAGGAGTAATTCCTTAGTGCAGAACCAGGAGTAACCCTTGTGCATTGCCAGATGTGACCCTAAAAACTTATATGTATATATATATATATATATATATATATGTATTCCTAAGATCTAAATGTTTGAAAGGCAACATCCTCAGAGAGGCTTCAAACTGTTTTCCTCTCAGTCTTTAGAGGAAGTGAGCTAAAAGGAAATACAAACTGAACCTACATGCAGCAGCGTTTTCTAGTCTTCATCTCCTTTTCCCCAAGAGAAAGGAAAACAGTAAGGGAAATGGTGGAAATTATAACCAAAATAGCAGTGTGTGTGTGTGGGGGGGGGGGGGGGGGAATCTAGTTTTTGGTCATTTCCGTAAGTCCAACTCCCCTGAAATAAAGGGATTGGAAATTTATTACGTACATCATAAGCTCCAGCCTTGATCTGCTGATAGAGTCTGTGCTGGTCTTCATCCCAGAAGGGTGGGTAGCCCACCAGGAGAATGTAAAGAATGACCCCTGGAGAACGAGACAAAACAACATGCAGTGAGTCAATATTCACACAAAGGGAACTGGAGTGTCAGAAAATCCGGGAGCCTGGAGGCTCCCCTCCATCCTGGACACAGAGTAGGTGACCGCTCAGTGCAGGGACCAGAGTTTCTGAAAGGCACAGCAGGCTGTCACCTCAGGTCGGGATCTACCTGTCACTCAGGGTCACGTTCTTCCTCTGCACCTGACTGTTTGTCATAAACTCTTAACTGTGCAGGTGCTGTGTGGCTCTGGTGTCTGCAGGTGAGGGGTGAGAACACGGAGCATGTTCTTTCTCTCAGCCAACTGTGGATCAGCACTGGCCAGATTGTTAATTCAGGCTCTAAGTCAGGGGCCTTCAACTACTACTCCATGGACTATTCCCAGTCCTCGAGTGCAGACAAGCTAAAAAAACCCGCACTGATCTACCACTGAGGTTCAAACCGCCAGTGTGTGGATGGGCATGCAGGACAGGTGCTGATCCTGCAGGTGTGAGGAGGTTGCAGGGCACTGCTCTCAATCCCAGGGGGCCTGGGAGTGCGGGTTACACAGGAGATGACAGTACTCCTCTCCTCAGTGATCTTGGTCTTTAATAATAGCGTTTTTCATTATAATGACACTGTTGGGATACTACAGAAGGGTATTATAGACAAGGAAAAAGGAAAAGGGAAATCGCACACACATTTCTAAGAAATACTTAGAATTTCTTTGTGATACAATTCATCTTCATAAGTATTCTTTGCAAATTAGACCTTTAAATGTGTGACTTAATTTTTTAAAAAGTCATTCACAGGCTTTAACTTGCCCTCCAATTTTATCTGCAGTTTGCACATCTCCTGGGAACTGCTGTGGTCTCCCTGGTCCTCTGTCCAGTGGACCTGGTCTAGTGCCCATCTCCCTACCCCTGAAGTGCTACATTGTGTAGTTGCTCACCCAGAGGAAGGTCTGCCATTGCCTGGGCCTCACCAGATAGGATGTTTCTTCCCGTGTCCCCATAACCCAGAGAGATGCAAGGGAGACAAAGACAGGCAAAACTCTGTCTGGTGTGCCCATAAGACTCTTGTTGAAAAAAAAAAAAAGGGCTACCTGGAAGTGCTTCCCTGACCATCTGATGCCAGGGATGGAGTCTGGGCCCAAACAAGCTAGACTTGTTTCCTATACTCAAGCCATCGCTGAGTCCCAAACACTCTTTCCTCCTGAACACAGCTGCAGGCAGCGTAGGGCACCCCAGTACCTCTGCTCCAGCTACCTGGCAGTGTCACTCCACATCCTGTTAGGAAAGTATCCATATTCCTGCCCTTCTGTGTTGCAGAGATGTCCCTGGCTTCCTATCCCTCAGTCTTGCTATCATTTATTTATTTGTTTGTTTGTTTGTTTGGGGGCCACACCTAGTAGTGCACAGGATTTACTCCTGGCTCTGTGCTCAGGATAACTCCTGGTGAGGATCAGGAGATGGTAAGCAGCGCTTGGAGAATAATCCTGGGGTGTCGTATGTAAGGCAAAAACACTGTCTCTCCAGCCAGTCTTGGTATCTTTTAGGTCACTGGCACTGAAATGGTTTATAAATAGTAATTGAATCTCTCAGTCTGTCTGCAGGAAAATCCAGCTTAAAGTCACTTTATTGGGGGAAAGGGGAGCACACTCGGTGATACTATGGACTTACTCCTGGTTCTATGCTCAGGGATCACTTTTGGTGGGTTCAGAGGGCCACATGTGGTGCCGGGAATCAAACCTGGGTCAGCAAGGTCAGCGTCCTGCCTGCTGTAATATCACTCCAGTCCCACAAGGCATCTTTAAAGTCCTCTGAACTACTACCAGGATAAAGTATTTGAAGCAACGTTTTCAAAGATCCAACAAAACTTTGACATCAAGACAAAGCCATTTCACCACTGTGGAGCCATCAAAAGAAATAGGAAAACGTGGTATTTTGACTCCCAGTGACGTAAAACATTTTTCTCTCATAGCCTACTCCAGTAGACTTGTGTGTTTCACTTACATTCACTTTCACGCCCCTTCTAGATCTCAGATGTGGCAGATGCCTCCTGGATAACAATGCTTCTGGGTCTTGTTCCCAGGGCACAGGCAGGAAAGAAGCCACAGCAAAGGCATTTTAGCCAACACCTGGGCTTAGGAGTTAAAGAAGAAAACTTGCTGGAAATGGCCACAGTCGGGATGGAATCTGGATCCTTTCCTGACCAGATGGGGAGTGACATTCTTGGCAGCTGAAGCAGATGTTCTCAGGAGCCCCAGGCTGGCTTGTCTCTGCCAGGCTGATACTCTGCTGGCCCTCCTCTGGGTCGGGGAGCTCCCAGACAACCAGTCCCCAGGAATCACTGTCAACGCAGGGAGATTCCCACACTGAGCCCTTTCGTCGAAGGCTCTGTACCCCCAAAATCCAAACTTTTAGATGAATTATGGCATGTGTCAAAGATTCTAAACTACCACACTTCATTGCACTCACTGCAGACTTAGTTAATTACTGCTCTGTGGATTTAACACAATGAATTCTTTTCTTTCTAAGTACAAAATATTCCTGGACAGTCTTATACTTCCTCCTCCTCCTCCTCCTCCTCCTCCTCCTCCTCCTCCTCCTCCTCCTCCTCTGTGGATTTAACACAATGAATTCTTTTCTTTCTGAGTACAAAATACTCCTGGACAGTCTTACACTTCCTCCTCCTCCTCCTCCTCCTCCTCCTCCTCCTCCTCCTCCTCCTCCTCCTCCACAGTCTTATACCTCCTCCTCCTCCTCCTCCTCCTCCTCCTCCTCCTCCTCCTCCACCACAGTCTTATACCTCCTCCTCCACCTCGGATTTAACACAATGAATTCTTTTCTTTCTGAGTACAAAATACTCCTGGACAGTCTTATACTTCCTCCTCCTCCTCCTCCTCCTCCTCCTCCTCCTCCTCCTCCGATTTAACACAATGAATTCTTTTCTTTCTGAGTACAAAATACTCCTGGACAGTCTTTTAGTTCTCCTCCTCCTCCTCCTCCTCCTCCTCCTCCTCCTCCTCCTCTTCCTCCTCCTTGGATTTAACACAATGAATTCTTTTCTTTCTGAGTACAAATACTCAGTAAAATACTGAGTAAAATACTCCTGGACAGTCTTTTAGTCCTTGTCCTCCTCCTCGGATTTAACACAATGAATTCTTTTCTTTCTGAGTACAAAATACTCCTGGACAGTCTTATACTTCTTTTTCTTCTTCTTCTTCCTCCTCCTCTTCCTCCTCCTCCTCCTCCCCCCCCCTTCTCTCTGTCACACATGCAGAGCATGTGATCTACCACTGAGCTACAACTGTGGTCCCCTTCTTTTTCTTCTTCTTCTTCCTCCTCCTCTTCCTCCTCCTCCTACTCCCCCCCCCTTCTCTCTGTCACACATGCAGAGCATGTGATCTACCACTGAGCTACATCTGTGGTCCCTCAACTTTCCCAGGTCCAGATTTAGAATCAGGCATTTCTCTGAGGCATCCTGGTTCCTTGCAGTGTAAACAGTATGCAGAGATGGAGACTGGGGTTCTGTAGGAGTGCTGTGTGGACAGCATGCGTTTCTTGAAGAAGTGAAGGGTGATGCAGGAGGGAGATAGAGAATCTACACACTGAAAGAGACTTAAGAGACTGAACTACTAACTATGTAAGATGAGACCAAAGAGTAAAAATTACTAGCCATCTAGAGATTTTAAGCAGCTGTCATTAAAAATTTTAATAGGGTGTTGAAGAGGTAGTACAGTAGGTAAGGCACTTGCCTTGCATGTGACTGACCCAAATTTGATCTCAGGCCCCGGATATGGTCCCCTTAGTTTCAACAGGATTGATCCCTTTCATTCGAAAAACAAAATATAACATAACCAGCAATGTTCTTGGGTCTGGGATGCCTGAAACAACACTATGGTTATGGGAGCTCACTAGAGCCAGACTAGCAGTGTTCAAGAGTCTTGTGGTACCAGGAATCAAACTCAGGACCTCACATATGTTAGTCATGTGTTTTACTGCTTGAGCTATTTACCTGATCCCTTGTTAGGGTTTTTAAAGAGCCTGAGACATAAACATAAATTGTCAATGTATTGCTAAGATATTTGGATTTATCCAAAACAATTTGAGCATGGAAGAATGAGTAGATGAACTAAGATTACCCTTTCATTCATTATACAATCATCTGTACTTGGATATGTTTGGAATTTTGCATAATAGAGTTAAAAAAAAGCCCACAGCTATCCTAGCACTCAGTTCTATATAACATTTACGAATGGAAGTTAACCCTAGTTTTCATTATCTATGTATATATTTGTGCTTGGAAGATGCTAGAGATGTTTGATTAATGAGCTGAGAAGCACTGAATCCTGATGAGGCAGAGAGACTACGTTAACAAGAACATCCAAAATTGATTAAAAGTTAGTCATAAAATTACAGCTTCAATCATCACATTAATGATTAAAACATCTTAAAGGATGTTCTAATGAAAGGAGAGGGAGATGCAAAGTTAAAAAAGAAACTGAGAAATCAGTGAGAAGTCAATGGAACAATCTAGCAAGACACCCACTAAGATCCACAGTAAAGTAAAGGACAATAGGATGTTTTTTTTTTTTTTGTAAAATGCTTCAGGATTGAGAAAAGCATGAATAACTCCAGGATGTAAGAATGGCTCTTCGTCTTCTTGTAAGAGAAAAGTATTTAATTAACACACTGTTCAATCTACAGGCCAATTGGTAGAACTAAGATCTTGAGATTCAAGGGCCAGCAAGATAAGAAGCTATTTTTCAGATGACATGCCCATGTACTGTGGGATGAAAGAATATGTAAGCAGGTATTCCTATACTCGATGGGTACCAAATGTGAATGTGTAAGTCTACAGTGCATGGAGAGAGGCAGGAGGAAGAATGCCTACAGATGCTTTATAAGAACAACGCAACCTGGGCCAGAAGGATGGCACAGGACATAAGGCACAGTCGGTTCGATCCCTGGTACAGTATATCATCCTGTGAGCACCACCAGGAGTAATGCCTGAGCACAGAGGCTGGAGTCAGCCCCGAGCATTGCCAGGTATGGCCCAAAAACCAATCATAATAAAATCAAAGCCACTCTTGATTATTTTTGTAAGCCAGAAATGGCTAGGTTTTTAACAAATCTCTGAATAATATAAAGATTTTTGCCAATGTCCCAGCAAGTGAAAGGTTCTAGGCACCCCGCTCAGAGGTCTCCACTCTATCGTGTGAGGACCCAATATTTGCTGCTCCCAGGGATTTGCAGCTGGATAGAGGAGCCTGCTCTGCACTGGCGTGTACCAGAACTGCCTGAACCTGGCAAATATTAAAAAAAGGCAGATTCCTTAACCTGCACCAGCCACAGAATCTGTGGTTCTCAGGTGGGTACCAGAAAGTTCCATTTTTGACAAGCATTCAGGTCACTGAAGCAAATGGTGACTTGTCATCTAAAAAGAATCAAACTTAATACCTGACCTAATTCATTCTATTCTCTCCCAGGAGTGGATTATTAAACCAGTCAGTCTGAAATTACCTGGTCAACACTAGTGAGGTAGCCTGCTTGATGGATTTTTTGCATCCCTTAACGAAAGGTGACAAGCCACAAACAACCAGTTCTTTGCAGCATTACTCCTCCATTCAGTGTTGTTCTTTGGAGCGCCTTTCTTTTTGCTAGCTGGGATGCTGCCTCATTGATCTTTAAGATCTTTAACACTGCTGAAGTTTCGAGTCAGTTTATCTGCTTCCATGTATTTCTTTGTACACATTCAAGTTGGGCTGGAGTGATGGCACAGCGGGTAGGGCGTCTGTCTTGTACGTGGCCGACCCGGGTTCGATTCCTCCATCTCTCTTGGAGAGCCCGACAAGCTACTGAGAGTATTCTGCCTGCAAGGCAGAGCCTGGCAAGCTCTCTGTGGCTCATTCGATATGCCAAAAACAGTAACAAAAAGTCTTGCAATGGAGACATTACTGGTGCCCGCTTGAGCAAATCGATGAACAACGGGAGGACAGTGCTACATTTAAGTTACAAAAGGAATTCGTTTTCAAAGTCAGCAGTTTGGTGATTTTGGTAAACAACACTTGCTTGCCCCAAGAGAGAACCAAGGACACAGGTTATGTGTATGTGCATGGGAGGAAGCCATCAAAATCAGCTGTCTGCTGTTCTTTGCTTTACCACTGCCTATTATTTACTTCCCAGTAATGGATCCACTGCCGTCCAAGACGTGACTAAAGTCCAGACCGTACTCTGTACAAGACCACAAAAGTCAGGGAATAGCATTTAAGTATGAAATATCAGGGGCTCAGATAATTCTGTATTTAAAAAATAATAATAATGGATAGACTTCTTTTTCCCATGTTTCGCTCTGGTCTGTGTCAACTGCCAAAAAAGACAAAGCCAATGTCGGTTGCGTCAGCCCAACATCCCCAGGAGAGTGGCTACTGTTTTTGCTAAGTGACTTGTTCTGTGTTTCTTTTGGAACCTGGGTAGCCTCAATTCTTACAGCACGAGCCCTTGTCTGGCCCTCAGAAGAATTAATTATGAATCTGGCAGGCGTGGGTGATGGGGAATGTATTGGAAAAAGAGAATCTCCTGAGATGTGGCATGACCTGAGAGTCATCAAGGAATATGCCATCAAGGTGTCTTGGGTGGTCTCATGCAAGGGGAAGGGAAGACAGAGGTGCCATCATTATTGAGGAGTGAGCTGAATGTCTCTTTCACATCATCCAAGTGAAAGGACACAGAGTGTGATGGAATGAGATAGTTGCAAACCCAGAGCAATGAACAAGACTGTTAACGAATTGCAGGGGACTCATTAGGACGGGCCCAGTGTTGGCCACCTTCTGCCCCAGGCCCCATTCAGACACCTCAGCTGAGCTGTGACCTGGGGTGGGGGTAGGGGCATTTGCACATTGTGGGGGACTGGCAGGCACAAGAGGAGGGGCTGCACAGGCTCCAAAGGAAAGGAGAGCTGGAGCAAACCCTGGTTCTGAGGGGCCACAGCAATTCACAAAGGGATTAGAGCGCAGGAAGCAAACTCCCAAGGAAGCAAAGGTTCTTCTGTCTGAAACAAAACTGTGAGGTGCCCCAATGGGTCGAAGTTTCTGGAGCACCGTCCATGGGAGATGTGCATGGGTGCACATACACTGCGTGTATACACACAGTATTTAGTACCTGCCCCCTGCTGCATTCCAGCTTGTGCCTTTATAGATCTGAGAATCCAACACTTTGGCTTCGAAGTTTTCGTCTCCTACTCACGCATAGAGGGTGAGGATGTTGGAAACTCAGACAAGACGAGGGAAATGGCGAGTTCCCCTCAGCCAAGAAAGTCAGAATTTCTGCCCTCTAAGTTACCTCACGTTCTCAAACTGAAATCCTACTTCACATTAAACCCAGCCACAGGTTTTTCACACAAACTGTTTTATGCCAAAGCATTCAAACAGAAAAATCCAGGAACTGCTGTAAATTCCAGTTTAGCGAAGTCATGTTCAAATTGAGCGTGTGTTTGGTGAGCCTAAGGCACCAACGTGTCAGTTATTAAACACACAGCAGCCTGCATCCGGATCCAACCCATGGAGGCAGAGGGCTTTTGCTCCGTGTGGGGAAGGGCGATGAACACTGCCACAGTCCAAGTTTTTTTAATCATTGAATCTGCTCACAGGCAGGAAAGAATTCTTCGTATAAAACCCTCGTGGTTTGGTTTCTTGTTTAAAGTTCTGGCATTCTTTGAAGCTAATAAAATTGATATATTGTGGGGCAGAAATGATTTAGTGAGAGCCAAATGAATAGTTTATCTAAACGACCCAAGTGAATGAAGTAGGATTCAGGAGCTGCAAAGCTGGCCCGTAGCAAAGCCTTTTGTAGAATAAACACGTACAAGGAGAGAAGGAGATCAGGAACAGAGCACGAAGTCGGTGGACCTGGTGGGAGGGCCATGAAGCACAGTGGGTGGAGCTGATGATTCTAGTGATACTGCTGAGTCATCTGTGAAAATGGTTCAAGTCTGTCTCATGCCTTCTGTGCTAATGCTACCAGAGTACCCAGCTCAGCCATTATCTAGAAACTTTATCTGTACAGAAATACTTCTAATAACAGATAGCTAACACTGATGCATGAAGGTAAAAACCTCTGTGGGGCCGACGAGATGGCTCAGAGGGCTGGAATACATGCCCTGATGTGAGACCCATGGGTTTCATTCCAGCACCCTGAGAAAAGCCTCCCTTAACTGAACTGAGACCCCCCACAAGCACCCCCACATACAGCACCCCAAACCAAACCCTCTTGGCAGGGTTTTGTAAGTCCAACTATTGTCTCTGTTCTTTAAGAGGAAGCTCAGACACAGAGGCCACATCATTTGTGTTTTGTCAGAGAGTGGGATCTCCCACTGACGGAAGAGAAGGGGCTGGCGGAGGCATGGGTGATGGCTGGCCTTGGCCCCTCCAACCTTTCAGAAGGCAAAGAGTGGTTTACACTGAAAACACGCCACATTAGAAGGTGTCTTCACCACAAGTCCCGTATGTGACAGTCACACGGGTATGTCTGGTGATAGGTCCCCATCTTACAGGCAAAAAAAGAAAAAAAAACCCACCCCTCATCCTCGGGAGACAGCAAAATCTTGGACCTCAGGAAGCAACGCAAATATGCACTCCCCACCCCCAACGGCCTCCCAGGCAAGAGCCGCAGAGCCTGGAGGCAGCCGACTTTAGGGGACAGGGTGTCCAGGGGACCCAGCTGGCTAGAAACATGGCCTGGGACAAGCCCCTCCATGGAACACTGGGGTGGGCTTGCTCCTCCGTGCAATCAAATCAAACACTCATCTTCTGAACCCGCTCTGGCTTTCAACGGGCCGTCACCAGCTCCTTGCAGGACTGTGGCCTGCCACGAAACAAAACCCGGCTGAAACCCAAGAGATTTCAGGCCACAGAGCACCAGCTCCGCTCTGGAACCTTGAGGGCGGGACTGCCTCCAGCCCCCCTCCCCCCCAAAGAGAGTGAGGTAGAGCACCCAGCGGCTTCAGGCTTTGCCATGTCTTCCAGCCTCATGTGTTTGAGCTCACAGCGTGAGCATGGAACTCCTTACCGCATGCCCACATGTCCACTGGCTTCCCGTATGGGTCTTTGCGTAAGACTTCGGGAGAGAGATATCCAGGGGTGCCGGCGAAACCTAGGGAGAAACAGACGGCTGGGTCAGCATGGCAGAAACAAGAGGAGGAGCTGGGGTGCTGGGGCGGTGGGGATATGCTGTGGCCTGGGCTGACCACAGTGGACCCAGGAGTGTGGCGGCTGCTGTGTCCCACTCTGCGCTTTCTGGAAAGGTCCCTGCAGAGTACCCAGGGCAGGACTCCTGGCTGACAAGAATGAAGGGGGACCCCTGCTGTGTGTGACACGTGGCCACTGCAACCACCACCAATGACAAGAAGGGAAGAAGGAGCTGGGGGAGCTTTCTGATTTATATACTTGGTTTTTTTTGGGGGGAGGTGGGGTCACACCTGGCGATCCTCTGGGGTCATTCCTGGCTCTGCACTCAGTAATCATTCCTAGCAGTGCTCAGGGGAAAGCTTTCGAATTTACCCCCCAAATTCCTACCTTTTTCCTAGTGAAGGCCAATGCTGGGCCTTGGAGGCCTTAGCTAAAGCTAAGCTGAGTGGGGGCTGCGGAGGGGCTAGGCTCACTCGCGTTACCTATGGGAGTCCCAGGGCTCCAAAAGAAAACTGAACCCTGGGCAAGGACAGGAATGCAATAACCCCAGGGAGGACACCTTGCATATTATTATTTTGTTTAGTTTGTGGGCCACACCCGGCAGTGCTCAGGGCTTATTCCCAGCTCTGTACTTAGGGTTCACTCCTGGTGGTGTTGGGTTCACTCCTGGCGGTGTTGGGGGATCATATGGGATGCTGGGAATCAACTCTGGTCACATGCAAGGTAAGTGCCCTGCCCACTGTATTGTAGTTCCAGCCCCATTATTATTTCAAGACAATATACTTTGACATATTATTCTGAGATGACGCAAAGGACAAATGCAGTCTGTCACATGTCCTTCTCTCTTTTTAACCTGAAGTGGTGCTCTACTTCCTGTGATAAAGCCCCCTCCCCCATGCCCCCCAGTTCCAGCAGATGCGGGAGATGCAGGAGGGGCCTGTCAGTACCAACTTGTCCGGCATTCGTTTCCTCCACCTACTTTCCCTTCACTTTTCCTACCTGAGTCTCCCGGGCCCAACCCCGACTCAACCACTATTTCTCTCTCCTCCCTGAAACATTCTAGAAACCTTCCTACACATCTGCATGGAAAGGTGCGAGTGAAAGTGGAAATCTGCACATCAAATAACCTCCAGATGCTTTTCTCCTATTCCTCCACCCCCACTGTCCACCTGCAGGCCCTGGTCAGAGAGGAGAGCCCAGCAGGGCCCAGCCGGCTTCCAAGGAGGGCTGAGGAGAGGGTGGAAATTAGCAGAGGAGAGGCCTGGCCTCTCCCCCCCCCCCCCAACACACACTCTCTCTTTTCGGGAGAAGCAAATAAAACAAGCCAGGCCCCTCATAGTAGGACGCAGAGCAGAGAGCCACATGCAGATTGAAAGCAGATTTTCAGTGTGAGGTTTTGAATGTGAAACAGGCTGTCCTGGGCGTAAGGGACCGGGCCGAGAGGAACTACAGAACTCATTCTCCAGGAGAAGTCACAGAACATAGTGTACCCAGAAATAATCAGGGTGCACTTAGGGCTGGCAGCCGGAGAACACTGGGAATTTTCAGATGAATCATTACCAAGCGTGGTGTGCCCTGACTTTTCCCATACGAAGGTGTGGGGGCCGGGAGATTGCTCAGCAGCCAGGGAAAAAATGCTTTGCATGTGCCGGGCCGGAGTTTGAAGCCTGGTACCTCCTGGTTCCCTGGCTACCATCCCCAGATGTCCCTGGTGGTCTCCAGCCCTGAGTCACCAGGCAGGCTGACCACGAGTCACCGGGAGTGACTCCCCAAGACCCTGAGAAGAGTTCGGGATGTCCCCAAATAAAGCAAGATTTAAAAAAAGCATGCTCAGCGAAGGCAGAAAAAAAGGTTTCTCATTACACACGAGGGAATCCAATGAGGCCAACTTCAATGATGGCTCACAGCTAAAACCTCAAAGTGCTTATTCCTGCAAATAATAGTTTTTAGGAGAAAAGAAAAAAAAATTACTCAAAACTTCCCAGAAGAGCCTCCCTCATTTAGAAGTTCTCTACAAACTTTCAGCTCCCATAAAGGAGATGGAGCTCCCCAGCAGAGATGGAGATGGGCACTTCCTCCGGAGCATCTCCCCATGAAGATACTTGCTCTGTCATCTCTGTGACATCCCTCCCCCCGCCTCTCACTGCAGACACTGCACAGGGGTCTCTCCTTCTGGCTCCCACCCCCTTTGCTCGTACAGTCTGTACCTCCTCGAACACGAGGAACACGAGTGAGATTTCATCCTGGCAGAAAAGAGAGGGCAGTCAGGCAGATGTCTGTCCATGTCCACTAGGACTGGCCTTTGCAGAAGCAGACAAGGCTAGGGATGGCTTCACGGACACTCTCACTCAGTGGCACTACTGGGGGTAGGGGTGGGGCAGCTGTGGGGTCGGGATGCCAATAAAGAATGAAGCAGCTAAAGGCATCAGAGTTAGGGGACTGGCATGGGGCACAGTGTGAGGAATGCAGAGACCCTGGGGGGTGACAGACTCCCTGAGAAGCAGCAGAGGGGACCTCTGAGAATCTGCTTCATCCTAAGGGAGGTGGTCAGAGGAGACATGAAAGGGACCGGGACAGAGAAACCAGGAAGAACAGCAGGATGGAAGATGCAATGATGGTGACATCTGTGGGACAGGGGACCCCATGGTAGCTTCTTGTTGCTGTGGATACAAGAGAGCTGACATTTTAAAGAAAGAGCAGCCACCATGCAAGAGAATTCTTCCATGGGGCAAGACTGTGCTGGCAATCCTTTTTGCTTCGTAGTAAGTCTCACCCTGAAACCTAGACACACAACTGTCGATGGGACTTGCGGCCCGTGGAGAGACAGGCTGGCTGTGGCTATTTCTCTTTGGTAGATGTCTGCCCTTCCTTGGTGTGGTGACTTGGGATACTGCTGCTAATATTTCTGGCTTTCAGATCAGTCAGGGCTGGGGAAGGGGCAGAGGTGACAAAAGAATAACGATAGGACTTGAAAAGGAGGATTTTTTAAAAAAGAAATACATAAAAGAACAGCTTCTAAGAAATCTCGTGTCATTTTTTTCCCTTTTTTTTGCATTGGAAATAGACCTCTAATATTCATGAAAATGAAAGCATGCCAAACCCCGAAACTCTAGCATGACAGAGAATGAAGAGTTTAACCACTTTTCTATCCAAATAAAAAGGTTTCCCTTCCCCAAGCCCCCCAAATATTGATATTAAAGTTTAAAATGGAAAATGAATCAGAGATGAGATTAAGATGGCAGGTAAGACTGAATAAATAGCAGAGCGAGTCACTCTGGTGAAAACATGCCCTTATTACTCACGTCTAAAATAAGAGCAACACACCCCAAAGAACAGAACACCGACTGCCTCCCCACCCTCCCCTAAGCCGGGGCACCCAGAGAGCTCTCTGGGACTTGAATGCAACCAGCTCAGAAAAAAAAAACCCCACAACCCAGTAATGAAGGGGGGAGATGGGGAATAAAATACCTATTAGCTTTCAAAACATTTGGTACGCTCCCAAAATGCTGAACTTTCTTAAAACTAAGAATGAACCTCTTAGGAGGTATCGGTTGCTCTAGACCCATTCAGTGATGCTGGCCCTGACCCAGGGGAGCTGGAACAATTGGGTGGGGGCAGGAGGAGCCTCGTGAGGTACTTTGGTGTCTGTCCCTTTAAGAAAGACGGTAGATTTCCAGGGGGTGCACTGGGTGATTTTTCTTTTCTGAAAAGGGGGTGACAGGCCAGGTGAGTTTGGAACCCCTGCTCCAGCAAGCTCCCTGGCCAGACTTTTGGCTGCTGCTTACTTCCTGCTGAGGAAGCAGGGGTCGATATCCTCCCAACCCATCTCAGCTTGGCTGGGACCAGCAAGGTTTTAGGCAAGAACTGGCACCATTTGAAATGGCGCATGCATTTTGAGCTGCCTGACATCGCTCCTGCTAAACTCCTTCTCATACTCCCCTAGCCCCTCTGTCACGTGCACTGGGAAAGGATTCTGACCGCTGCAGGACAATGTCTGCCGCCCCTGCCAATGGGCCTTCAGGAGCAGAGGGTTCTAAATTAACTTGGCTGGCCACCCCCTTCTCCGAACCGGGATTTTACTCCCTGGCACCTCATATGCCCAGCTCACCTTCGAGCCCACCAGAAGTACGATCTTTCAAATAGTCTCTAAATTTCTTTAGGTTTTGATTTGTCCCCTGTATTATTTGTGGCTCATTAATTTGGGCTGGAGTGATAGCACAGCGGTAGGGCATTTGCCTTGCACACAGCCAACCTGTCCGAGCCAGGTTCGACTCCTCCGCCCCTCTCAGAGAGCCTGGCAAGTAACCGAGAGTATTTCACCCGCACGGCAAAGCCTGGCAAGCTACCCGTGATGTATTCAATATGCCAAACACAGTAACAAGTCTCAAAATGGAGACATTACTGGGCCTGCTCGAACAAATCGATGAACAACGGAAGGACAATGACAGTGATTAATTTGGGAGGGTACTGGGATATCCTGGCAGTGTTGGGGGCCCAGGTGGTGCCAGGATCGAACCCGAGGTTCCTACATGCAGAGCTCGTGAGCCTGCCCTCTGAGCACCTCCCCAGCCCTGCTGAAGAGTCCATTTGTAAGGAATCCTCAGGATTTCAACATACAGACTATCATCCCCAAACGATCAAAATTTAAAAAACAGGAGTTTTGGAGAAAAAGATGAGACCTACCACCATTAATGATTACAAAAATTAGGTAACAATTGCAAAAATTACCATTGTAATTCTTGTTTTTAGTTTCCATTTACCAATGACAAAGGGGACACACACCCTGTGAGTATGGCTTGAGTCACTACCTTTCACAGCCGTGGGGCCACTGGCTGGGTGGTCTGCACAACCAGTCAGGATTTCTTCAATACCAAAAGCACTCTGAAGAGTGGGACCCTCCTCCCTTCTCCTCACAGGCCCTGTTTCCTTGCCCATCGAGGAAGAAAACGTCTCTGCTCTTGCTCTCTTATTCATGCATTCCCCTCAGTAACTTCTACATCATGTCCCTTTCAAGGTCAGCCAGGTGCTTTAAAAGGACCAATATCTGTGAGTTCACCCAGCGTCACTGGAATGAGTGTTTGTGTGCATTCTGGCTGGGTGGCAGGAAGCAGTGAGGGGAGACTCTTTGGAGTCCAGAGAGTAGGGGCATCTACTCACCAAACCATGCCTGCTGGTCTCCTTGCACTTCAATGGCGAGGCCAAAGTCAGCCAGCTTCACGGCTGCCCCCTTGGATTTGCTAGCTAGAAGCAAATTCTCAGGCTTTATTTAGAAAGGGGGGGGGGGAGAGAAAGAGATTAAAATGAGAACCCATTTTTAAGTGACTGTTCACAGCTAGTAATATTGAGGGGTGGCTGCAGGAGGGACTGTACTATCTCATCCCTCCCCACCCCCCCCCCCCCCCCCCCCGGCCAGGCTGTCCTCGCTCCTAAGACTAGGAGATTACAGAGTAGATTAACACAGGCTGCAGGCAAGAGGCAGACATTTATAGGAGGTACCCTGGGCAGCAGAGAGCTTGGGGGTCACACAAATAGAGGATGCACCTCTATTTACATGTTCTAAGACCCTGCGTTTAAGGGTTTGGCCACAGACTCTGACTTCGGAGTCACACAGAGCACAGGCATCTCAGCAGAAGGAAAGTTGGCGAAACGTTAATGAGAGTTGGACCACTCCAGAGACATTTGGCAAATGAAACCGTGCAAATGAAATCCTAGCTGACTTCAGGAGTTTGGACCCAAATGTAGTGCTTTTGAGTCAATGTTTCCAAACAAGTCTCTGTACTAGTCTCGTTCGGCGTATTGAAATCGCTGTCTCTAAGAATCCATTTTCTTCTTAAAGACAGGAAGACTCTATGGCTGTTATTTGCCAAATGTTTCATTTGCTTTGTGTGTTTTTTGAGACATAATTTACATGTCTTCAAAGTGTGATTCCAAGCTTGACTTATGTATTTATCTTCACATTTCAAAACGCTAAGAGAATGAATCATCCCCCCACCCCCCGGGATGTTTTTCATGACTCAGGGACTGATAGATCAGTCTTGGAATAAGGCTGTGTGAGCTCCCTGCTTCCCAACCTGAGCACCGAGACACACTGCAACTGTGGATATGAGCACCGACGGAAAGCCCTGTGGTTCCCTGGACCACTCTGAGCACTTTTAGAAATGATGGCAGAAGAGGAGCATTTAATACCTCTAATGACTTACCACTGCCCCCCTCCGTCCCCTGCCATTTCCCCCACCCAATGCCCCCGGGGGAAAGATACCTGGATGAATACAGGTGGACAGAGGTACAAAGTCTCCTTTTTTCTTTTTCTTTTTTTTGGCTTTTTGGGTCACACCCAGCAATGCACATGGGTTACTCCTGACTCTGCACTCAGGAATTACTCCTGGTGGTGCTCAGGGGACCATATGGGATGCTAAGAATCAAACTCGGGTCAGCAGTGTGCAAGGCAAAGGCCCTACCTGCTGTGCTACTGCTCCAGCCCCCAAAGGTCCAAAATCTTGCCTGGATCTAAGACCCAGGACATTTAGAGGTGTGTCTCAGATGAAAAAAGTTGGGAAACAACAGACTGCCCAGTGCCAAAGCAATTGTCTGAAAGTCCAAGATGCAATCAGTCAAATTGGTTCTGTATATGTGTTCAACTAATAACACATTTCATCGGGATTTTCAGGAAATTTGCTGCTTTTCTTCTTGGTTTGTTTTGGTTAGTTGTTTTGATCTTGTGTAAACACAGCCTAAAACAAGACTTAAATTCTTAAGTAAGCCAGCCACGCAACAAAAGCAAAGACTCATCACCAGAACTTGGAAGGAATCAGGTTAAAGGTATATAAGAATAATACAAGAGCACTGGCTAGTTCATTGGGATCTAGTACTAGTCTTCAGGCTACTGCTTCTCACTGCCATCACATTTGCCTGGGATGATGGTGGATAACTGGAAGGAAGCCTCTGTGGGAAGCTGTAAAGATTTTGAGTTATTTCTGCACTAAATATGAGATTATTTAATTTGGAAGTTGGGATGGAGAGTTCTCAAGACTCTATCATATTTGTATGCTGAAAAGAACTCTGAGTAAAAACTCAGATGCAAGATGACCTGAAACTGATAGCGTACTTATTAGTCTCTTATAATATCTAACCATGCTATGGCATTCATCTTTGGCATTTTATTTTCACAATATTTATGAACTGATATAGTCATGCGATTTCTAATTAGCCAAAAGGTAAGTTCTAGTTACCAATAAATGAAATAAAGTTGGGAAAACCACATCAAATGGGTCATCATGGTTTCTTCCTTCATCCCCTCCCCTTGCAAAGCACTGACATACCAGAGGTCTCTGCTAATACACATCTATCAACCATAGCTTCTTTGGCATCATAGCCACGCTCGGTCTTAAGTTGGGGGCATTGCGGCTTGCAGAGCATGCGGCCAGCATCATCAATGAATACACTTTGGGACATTTGAGTGTGCTTATCCCTTTGTTACCGAGTCAAGAGAGCTTCTGGCCAGGTTGTAGGCAGGATGCCCCAAAATACCAAGTCTCTGCCAACTCAATGGAGAAGTAGCTCCTTGGAGCTGTATCATACTCTGAAGGGCTGGGGTGAATGTTCGCACTTTGTTTGAGGGCCCGGGGGGCCATCCAGGAAAAGAATAAATCTGCCAGCATCAGTATTTTACTCTATTCTATTCTATGAAGACTGTAGCTATGCATGGTAACAGGCAGGACGTCTGGAGCATTACCTTGTAGATTTTGAAAAGAAATGGCACAGAGATGCTTTCATGTTTATGTGTCTCTTTTAGGCAAACCCGATGTAATGGAATGCAAGCTGACAAGCGAGGATGATAGAGTTCTTAAAGGACTGGGATAAAATATTTCACTGCATGACTGCTTCCCATGGTGGGCTTCAGTGAGCACAGGCGTTGGTCTCATATCAGCTGCTTCAAGTACAGATGTCCACAGTCCTGTTACCATGATCTACTCTTCACACAGACCCTCCACTGCAATGGTGGCTGGGGAGGTGTCTCCGTGGCAGAGCACAGACTCCACATATATGAAGCTCTGGAGAGATCCTGGCACACACACAAAGTACTTCAGAAAGTTTACTGGTGAGTAGGTGAGCTCAGATTCAGACTATCTCAGACACTGATAGTACAGGTCAATGTGTGGGTATGTTCACAGAACTGCAACATTTCTCTGTGAATCTGCAGCCATATCCTGAGCCTGACAGAAACTCTGTGGTCTTGGGCAAGCCAAGCCTTCTGTAGCTAACAGTCCTCCGAATGAACTTCAAAAGCATAAGCTATATCTCACAGCAGTGCGTGTGAAAGTCTTAATTCCTGTTGGACTGTATCACAGGAGCTTGTCCTCCATAAAGAACAATATAAACACCAGTGAGGATTGATCCCTCTTCAGAGCAGCTGGCCACCATGATGAACAAACACTAAATATTTGTAATGCTTGGGCAGAGGGTGGGAAGTGCCTGCCTTCCGAAATCCAATGCGGTCGGTCTATTAGGCTAATCTTGACATACCGAGATTAACTAAATTCATACGACACAGTCGCTGTTTAAATTGGGTTTTAAATAGCATCTGTGGAGTCTCACACAGGTTCCTTCCCCACCCCACTGCCTCCCAGTGATGCAGGATTTTCCACACCATCTGGTCTGTGTGTCAACAACCATTTATAGCCTATCAGCTGCAATGAGGAGCAACTGTTGGCCAAGTTTTGATCCGAGCTTCCCTATGGATTCAGTGGCGTCTTGTCCCATTGTGACTGGAGACTGCTGGAGTATCCACCCAGAGGACCCCCAAAGCCAGAATCGCTTCCGGAACTGCAGAGCCCGAGGGAGAGGGAATGTACTCCCAGTGCTCAGTTTTCCAAATGTGATGAGGGAGCTCCAAAGAGATGGAGAGAAGACTGGACCCCCTATTTTCAGGACCCTTTCCTTTCAAAGATTCAATGCTGAGGGGACTCCGCTGAGGAGGGTAGAAGTGCCTCACTCTCAAAAAGTGGCTCATTCCATTGTTATTTTTGGGTAAATTTGAAGTATTCAAATCTCTTGACTCCCCATATCCAAATAGAACACAGGAAGAATGTAGGACAAAGACTTTCCATCTTGCTTCTCACTCAGTCCAGAGGGGCATTACGAGGATTTCTAAGCAAGGGTGGTCTTCGGTAAGTGACTGACTGGCAAAGATAATGGTCCTCAGCAGCTGACCCATCCCAGATATGTCTCTGTCCAAAGATGACAATGATCTGGTCAAAAAAACAACTAGGCCAGCGGCACGTGCTTTATTTCTTTTATCCCTTTCTTCCTGACGATTACAGAACAAGATTTCCATTTTGTTATTCTGTATTATTTGATGCTTACACTGCCTTGGAAGATCAGTCCTTCAGAAGTCGAAAGAGTCTTTTAAAAATCTCTTTCCTCCCCAGGAAAATCTCCCGGCATGAAGCCAGCCATTCTGTGCTTTGGTGTTTGCCATCACTTTTCCTCTGCCAGTGGAGGTGTGAACCGAGCTCCCAGAAATAAGCAAGATGCAGGCTGTGTGCAGGAGAAGCTGGGGTCGCCGGCTCACACATGCCTGCAGGGAGGCTGATCTGTACCCATGTGACAAGCAACCCACAGCTCTGGTTGTGGTCAGAGGGGAGGCCTAAGTGTAGGTTCAGACCAGGGCTGACCAGCAGACATCCCCACTGTAGGGTTCATGCCCTCATACACGGCAGAGTGGACACGTCCAGAATCACTCTGGAATCTGTTCTTAATACCTTTATCTTCCTCCACATTATCAGCATGTACTGGGCAGCTTAAAAGCCACCACAGGGTAGCCCCGATTTGACAGGCCTATTGTCCCCTAGAGCTGCATGGTCCATCTCCCGGGGCCCTCATAAAAATGCTTTACAGTGCTCCAGGAGACTCGGCATTTGTCACCTACATAGTCTGCCTCTATTGTCACTGGGCATACGGAGCTTTCCTGGGGCAGATGACCCTTATGCAGTTGTCAAACAGCTCTGAGAAAAGTGGGATCACTATGAATTTATAATGAATCCAAACACAGGACTCATTCGGTGCATTCTGGTACCCACAGCCAACACAGAAGGATTTACTGAATTCTTGTCCACTTCCCCTAGAAGACAAATCCCAGGCTCCTAAATGTACAACTCCTATGGCCATATATTTTATTCCTATGAAACTTATTTAAAAAAGTCTTCTCCAAATATCTGGAAGTATTTTTTTTTTCAGGAGGAAGAAATTTCATTTATTCTTCTTAAGTGTTGATGTTTTGTTTGGGGGCCATACTCAGCAATGTTCAGGTGTCACTCCTGGCTCTGCACTCATGAACTAGTCTTGGCGGTGTTCAGGGGACCATATGGGGTGCTGGGAACTAACCCAGATCAGTCACGAGCAAGGCAAACTCTCTACCATCACTCCGACCCAGAAGGATTAATACCTTCATTAAAAGCTCCAGCAATCTCTGATCTCTCTCTCTTCCATACATGCATCCAACACTTTTTCACTAAATAACTTTTTCCAGAGAGAAGCTAGTAGGCAAATATTCAATATCCTTTCAGCAGGCAGTTTACAGGGCTTGTTTGTCACCAGAGGATTCCACTCTGCTTAAGCAGTTTCCTCCCTAGCTGGCTCTTCATGAAGCCAGTCACCATTTCTGACGTGCCTGTAACCAGTGAGACCTCCTCACCTGAGAGAAATACGATTATTTGAAAAAGCTCAAGCACGCATGGGAATTAGGCGTTCCAAACTTTTATTTTCTTTGATTCTGGAAGGGAACAGTTGAGGCACCCAGAGTGGTGATCCGGGCTTACTCCTGGTTCTGTGCTCAGGGGTCCCTTGGGGACATATACACAATTTGACGGATGGAACTGGTGTTGGCTGCATGCAGGTTATGCCATAAACTCAGTATTATTTCTCTCACTTGGTGCTTCTCTAGGCTCTTAAGGGGGAGGTCCAAGGGGAATGGATATTTATTTTGGGACATTGAGAACTGTCCCTTGTCACTGCCCCTTAGTGGAAGCTGCTCCTCATGGAAGACTGTCTGGTTTGGGACCTCCTTCCTCCTGGGAGGGACAGCATTGAGGTGCTCAGAGGTGCCTTCAATAGCACGGTGAGACAAGCTAGCTCCACATACCTCTGGCTGACTTGGACAAAGCAAACCGAGCCTCGGGCAGCTGTGTTGGGCATGAACCAAGGGAGGAATCAGGATTTGGAAAACAACGCGTACAGACTCAAAACCGTCAGGTTAACAGTTAAATCTGGTTAGGAGAAATTTTAGAAATCATCCTTTTTTATTGCAAGATGTTAGTACAGATGCTATGGCGAGTGCTCTATCTACCAGAGGGAGCAGCCAGGAATGAAGGAAACCAAGCCGGGAGTTCCATGCTCTAAAGGTGAGAGGTAGGCCTGGCCTGCTCCAAGGGCATAGGTTTGGGCCTCTTCGGGCATTATTTGGACACTGAACTAAGCCCTGTAGCCCATTTGTCTATCCAATTCCACAATGAGACCAACACTCACACTTCAGTCAGATAACAGATAATAGTCATGGGATTAATAACCAGCTCTCTTCTTCCTAATATCAGGCTGAGGATGGAGAACAAAACCACTCCCTCCTCAGGCCCCCAGTCCCCACCATTACAGGGATGCAGGCTACTTCTCAAGGCACTAAGGTGCCCCGGAAATGACCCTAGCTTTAAGTCAGTGACTTCAGCTCATAGGTTGGAAAACACGCTTCTTCACAGTCCAGGCTCACTGCCAGCACTGATTTCAGTTCCACACTTACAGGGCTTAGCTGAGCTTGTACTTTCTCAGAGAGTCTTAGCTCATGAGCTCACAAAAATATTCAGAAACTCCTGGAAGAAAATTTACATTTTTCATCCCCAGCTCTCAGGATGTACTTGCAATGATAGAACATGAGTAAAGTGTTCCAAATGATTCACTTATTAGTGCATCTGATGAAATAACTGTAGCACTGCACTGTCCTCCCGTTGTTCAACGATTTGCTCGAGTGGGCCCAGTAATGTCTCCATTGTGAGACTTATTGTTACTGTGTTTGGCATATCGGATACGTCACAGGTAGCTTTCCAGGCTTTGCCGTGTGGGTGAGGTACTCTCAGTAGCTTGACGGGCTACATGATGGTTATATCCATAGATATTCACGCCAAAAGGATGAATTCTAAGTTATATATATATGTGGCTAGGAAGGAACATCTGAATTCATTTCACCATGATGTGAATCTTAAGAGGAACCACTGTTCCTGGAGCCTGGTGGGTACATTTGGCAAATGCCAACAGATGTACCATCCTTCATCCTGGCTCTGCACAGTGAACTGCCACCAAACATCTCCTTAATTCTAACATTGAAAGTGCTCAGGCTCAACCTGGAACTCCAAAGGAAGATTCCAGAAAAGTAAGGGAGGGCTTGGTTTACAAACAAAATCTCCAAGGAACTTTCTAGATCTATGAGGCTGACTCTTCAACAACAAATGAATGAAACCTGTAGTTACAGGTTTATTGGAACTGGAAAAGTCTGCCTGTGAAAGTTGTGTAGTTTTTCCCAAGGAAAACAGCTCGAGACAGTCCAACTAACCTTTTGCCAGCTTTGTACTTTAGCCTGGTAAAGGCTGAGGTTTTGGCTTGCCTAGACTCGCGTCTAGATGATGGGCACATTAGTTCTTTCACCCATCTGGGCGTTTTCTTTCACTTAAAGTTATAATTCTTTACCATTTCTTTGAACTTTCCTGTAAGTGAAATGGAAAAGACAGAAGATGCTGAGAAGGAGGCAGAATCTTAGTACCAGAACGGTCTCCATCTGAACAAAGGAGCTTCTCGATTATCTAAATTTTTCTCATCCTCAGGGGCATCAGAAGTTAAGTGACATCTCAAAGGTAGGAGCATGAGCCCATCTTCATGCCACATAAATACCATCTGATAACAAATACTGTTTTGCTTCTTTCCCATCTGTTTTAGGAAGTACTCGAATCTGAATCCAGAGGAACACAGATCAATAAAGAAATGATCTCATCCAACCTTCCCAGAATTCCTGAGACTCCAGGAAGGAGGGTTTCAGAGTCTGAACATTTGGCTTTCGGCACCTAACTACAGAACAAAGACCGAACTCAATTACTCCTTTCATTTTGGGAATTTGGTAACCACTGACATCCGGTCTACTGAGCACAGCTCTCAAAGCAAACGTGTGCGTCAGGAGTACAGAACCAGTAGAGAACGGAAGGGCCTCCTGAGCAGGGAGGAGTGCCTCCTGGCATGAGTGTGAGTGTATTAGTTCTCTTGGGATAAAACAGGATTCTGGAAAGTCTTTAAATGAATGTTAGAGGAGAGAGGATGCAACGAACCAGATCGTGGTGTATCTCTGTAACGTGCTAGGATGAGTCCGTACCACTGCACTGCTCATGGTTTTTATTTGCCTTTATGGACATAATTACAGCTGAACAGTCATTGGGAATCTCGTGTGTGTGTGTGTGTATGTGTGTGTGTACATATGTGTGTGTGTGTGTGTGTGTGTGTGTGTGTGTGCGTGTGTGTATGTGTGTGTGTGGTCCTCCTGCGGCAACACTCACCTGCGAGTGCAATAACTGCATGCAAACACCAGGGGGCGAGTGTTAGTTCCCCACCGATAATTTGCACACCCTCAGCAAGATGGGGTAAGGTGGGGCAGACAGCTGGGCCCCTCTTTACCGGGTCCAGAAATGCAGGCGTATTGCTCAAGGAGAGTGACTTCTACCTCAGGACAATCTGGATCTTGCCAATCCAGGTTGGCCCCAAACCCCATCTTAAAACCCGTTCCTTCCAACAGGAGCTCATTTCCTGGTGGTAAATTCTTCCAGGAAATGAACTGGAGCACAAAGAAGTGTGTAGCTGCTGTGTTCCATCTCCTCCCCATCCCCCGACCCCCCAGACAAGAAACAGTTCCCCTATTCCCTCCTGTTCCTCCCCTTCCTCCGTGTCTCATTCCAAAGCTGTCACATTAGCAGCCAAGCCACCATTCAGGTTACATTAGGATACATAATGAATTTTTGATAAATCATTAACTTCTTGAGCTTTAATTTAGCTGGCAATTATGATCTCTTGCCTGAGGGTTCGTCAAACTCAAATGGAGTAATGCATGACCAGTTGTTCTGTGATAGGGCAACCCACGGTCTCCGAGCAGAAGAGGTGTTTGCACCTGTAGGCGAACATACATCACGGGCCAACCTGATCTCCGGCCAATCTGGGCCCACCAGGAGAGCCCGCCACAGCAGCAAGTCTGACAGGCCATGTTCCTAATACTGTCCTTCCCTTTCAGCCATGATGTATGTTTGCCTGTAGACGGGCGACCAAGAGAGGCGTCATGCATTATCATTTCATCATCAAGGCATTTGTCAGGAGCACTTGAGGAAAGCACGGGAACCAATGTCCATGCCCACCCTCTGCCCTTTGCCCAAAACAAGACAAAACAAGCAAAGTCCTTTGATTGAGATTTATGGACCCCAGATACTGACCTTCAGATCCCTGTGAACTATGCCATTTAGGTGACAGTGATTTACACTCTCTAGAATCTGCTGTATACAATGACTGCAACGATACAAGGGTAGACGGAAAGGGAGAACATTTTAAAGGCACATAATCACAATAAATACAAAATAAAAGGATTTTAAAAAAACCCAAAAAGTCATATTTTCACATTTTTTTTAGCTTTATGCTGGGATTAAGTAAATAACTGAATAAAGCTAATTCTGGTTCGCTCATAAATGAATTCCAATGCAGAACTTGTGACGTGTTCAGAAAGAAAAAAAACAATTTGAGCAGTGTGTGGACTATTCCTATTTTCTTTTTAAACCAAAAGTCCAATAAATAATTTGAGTACATAAGTCAAATATTTTCATTTTCAAGAGAAAATGTTTAAACAATTCCCATAACGTTCAGGAAAAATTCTGCAGACATGTAAAGCTGAGGAATATTTCTCATACACATCTAAACTGTTTAAAATCTGAGGTCACAGTGAAAGAGGTGTTGAAACAAGAGAGTAAACACAAACAGAAAGGGACTCATTGCCTATTCTGACTTAGACTGTTGCTTTTTGTATAGCATATTAATAGATGAACTAACTTGAGTCTTCAGTACCAGGAAAATTTAAGCCAGGCCAGAACAAAGCCCTATCTTCAACACAGGTGAACTCTGGGGAAAGACTAGAGACTTTGGAAGAAATGAGTCATTAAAATTTTTTTAAATCCCGAGGGCACTGGTTATTGGTCAACACATTTCCATATTCCTTAGTGATGGAAAATTGTTGCTGATGCTGCCAAAATGCACAGTCTATGTTACCCTTATTAAGAAGCTCAGCGATGTCACTAGCTGCTAATGAAAGCAGGTGGCTGGAAGGCCCGAGGCTCCTGGAGGGCCTGTACGTTGGCATATAATACACCACAGGGATGAGCTTTGCCCAAGTGCCCGATGCCACTCCCAGGCCCAGAACAGAGGCAGGGACAGAAAGCATGGCACGGCTACATTTGTTACAGGCGTGAGCAGACATTCCAAGGAGGCCAGTGTGACCATTGAGCCCACACAATAATAGTCCTCCAAATTCCTGGGAAACTACAAGGACAAAGCATCTGCTGGAGGTGAACAGTGTCTATGCTTGACCAGCCTGGTCACCCGGAGCATCCCTTTCTTTGTGATCACTTTAACAGCATTTCCCACAGTGGTTGATGTGACACCCTACGTCCCCACTGCTTCAAAGAACCCTGGGGGCTGTAGGAACCAAAGGGTGGGAGACACACTTTGTTCACTTACAAAACGGGGTCGATTTCCAGGGAATGCTAAGCAAAGTTTTATGTTTAAAGGGAAACATGAGGCCAAGTTAGTCTGGGAAGTTCTGCTTGAAAGTTTGAATGTTTGTGATTACTTTTAAAAGGGGCTGCACCCATTTGTGGAATATAAAATGACATAATATGAGACAGACACCCAAGGACAGTAGATACAAGGGCCAGGAATATTGCTCCATAGTTGAAAGCCTGCCTCATGAGCTGGGGGAGAAGGCAGCTGGAATAGAGAAGGGATCACTAAGAAAATGATGGTTGGAGGGATTGTTCGGGATGGGAAATGTGTGCAGAAAGTAGATACAGGACCAAACGTGATAGCATCTCAGTATCTATATTGCAAACCATAATGCCCCAAAGTAGAGAGAGAGTACGGGGGAAATTGTCTGCCATGGAGGCAGGAGGAGGGTTGAAAGGAGGGGAATACTGGGGACATTGGTGGTGGAGAATGTGCACTGGTGGAGGGATGGATATTCAATAATTGTATGATTGAAACTCAAACATGAAAACTTGTAACTATCTCATGGTGATACAATGAAAACTAAAAAGGGGAGAGGGAGACAGAACCGTGGGCAGGACACCTGTCTTGCACATGGCTGAGTGGGGTTCAAGCCCCACGACCGCATCTTGTCCCTTAAACCCCTCCAGGAGTGAAGTCTTGAGCACTCTGGGGTGCAAAAATAAATTTTTTTTTCCTATAGGGAATGCCAAGGAGATCAACACCTTCCAATCTAAGTACCAGCTCCTCAGGCAGACGGTCATGCCTCACCCTGCCATCTCTGCCTGCATCCCTTGAGCAGCCTCAAGTTAGAATGCGAAGACATTTTTAGCTTCTATGGAGATTTTTGCCTGGGAAGTTCCCTTCAACGCCTCTTGGAAATACTTGAATAAATATTTTTCATGTCAGCATTCCAAGGTTTGAGTGAAATTTCCCAGGTGAAGATAATGAGTCCCCGTGTCCTCCTGAGATGTCATGTCTCTCTCTCTCTCTCTCTCTCTCTCTCTCTCTCTCTCTCTCTCTCTCTCTCTCTCTCTCTCTCTCTCTCGTCTCTGTGAAGACAGGGACTGGTGGTGGCTCTTTCTGGGATCGGAGGAATAATCTGCGGTGTCCTCGTGACCACAGTGGTTACTCAGTACTTGAAAGGTGGCCAGCACCGTGAAACAACCAGACGTTTAATTCTTTTAATTTAAGTTTAATTCACTGAAATGAATATTGGCGCTTATTACTACGTGGCTCCCACACAGGGCAGCCCAGGATCTAGAGATCACAGTCTCTGTCTTTGATCTGTGTGCCTGGTCACGAAAAAGTCTTTCTTTAGCACAAATCAGACCAGCCAGCCAAGAATAATAATTATAATCGTAATCGCAAAAAGACTGCAGTCTGACTCCAGTCAAACTATAGATGCTCTGGAAAAAATAAAGTGTACATTAGAGTCATTTATTTGTTTCTTCACAAGGAATCATCTGGAAAATCCTAGAGACAGACACCAAGGAAGGATTTGTCACTGGAACACATCCTGGATAATATAAGATTCTTATGATGACTGCATGCTACTATGCATTTGCAGACAGATACCTAGGGAAAGCGTTATTTGAACATGGCATCTTGTCTCTTGCCCAGGGTAAACCACTTACCTGGCATCGGCCTCGCTATAGTATTCCCTCGCCACGATGTCTTCAAACAGCTCACCCCCAGTGACCCTATGGAAGCAAACGAAGGGCTAAGTTAAAACGGGGAGAAGGTGGGCAACAGCAGATTTCTACAAGTGTTCATTTTTCTTTTAAGATTATTTCATAAACAAATATCAAAATGCAGACTCCTTCGAGAACATGAGGAGCCTGACCATTTTCAGCAGTCAATCAGTCTCTCATCTGGAACACTTCCATCATTTCCGTGTTGTTCCCATCCCTGCATCCTAAGAACACAGTTTCAGCACCTCAGAGCTAAGGGCAGGGCTGACTCCTGCAGGGAAAGCTTCCTAGCATCCTCTTCCTTTGTCTAGGTCCCCAGGAGTCAGGGAGGGCTGGCAGAGGGAGGGAAGCAGTCTGGGAACATTGGAAGGAAAACACACAACAGCCCTCATGAGTGGGAGTATGTGCAAGCTTGAACATTGCTGCTTACATAGCCAGGAATCCTCTGCAGGGGCTTTGGGGCTTGAGCAGGAGAGTGGGAGCCATGAAGGACATAAGACCTCAGTTCAATCCTCAGCGTCACTCTCTCTCTCTCTCTCTCTCTCTCTCTCTCTCTCTCTCTCTCTTTCTCTCTCTCTCCCTCCCTCCCTCCCTCCCTCTCTCTCTCTCTCTCTCTCTCTCTCTCTCTCTCTCTCTCTCTCTCTCTCACACACACACACACACACACACCATTAAATTAGTTCAATCAATTCCGTTGGCTTTCTCTATGCAGACTGCAGATCCCCTTTACATTCCAGGCTTGTGAGCAGGGGTGATGTTCTGCCATTACAGAGCCCCGTTGTCTGCACCCCCTGCGGGAAGCTCACCCAAGGCCACTGACCCAGAGCCTTCATACCCTGGTTTCCAGGTTCTCCCTGTGGAAGCAACTATCTTGGAGATTCACTTCCTGCTCAGGTTCCCAGATGTGGAGGGCTTCCTGAATGAGTGCTGTTCCCCAGTTTAGGCTTAATGCACCTTTTTCTTTCAAATAAACACAAAGCGCCAGCAAAATCCAACCAACATGCTTTAAAATATCCCTCAGGATGTCAGAGAACTCAGCAGTCTGGTGGAAAAACCAGGTTCCATCCATCCCAACACTGCACAGTCTCCCCCAAGTACCAGGAAAAGTGATCCCCGCAAGTAGAGCCGGGAGTAGCTAGGCAAGGACCCAAACAAATAAACAAAAGACACCAAAAGAAATCTGCAAGTGTCACAATTCTCTAGTTAGACTCCTCCAAGTGTAGAAGTGTACCAAGGACTCTGCTATCTCCCAGTCCCTCCCCCACTCTCTAGAACAAACAAAACTGGCAGGTTGGCAGGTAGACCGACCCCGGCTTGTGTGTCCTTAAACATTTCTGCATTTCCTCTTGTCAGCGTATACAGAGAAAGATGCTTTTGGCACAAAAGTGGGATCGTGCCACAGAGAGAAAATTTAGAAGGTCAACTGCATCTTCCCTCTGACCCTTCATTCTGGGCATCTGCTTCCGGAAGAGCAGGCAGTGGGAAGCGCCCACACAGACCACACACTACCCACTCACGACGGTTTCTACAACGTGTAGTACTAGAACTACGGCTGTTGAGTCAGAATCTCCACATGGGACTAGGGCAATAGGGCAACAGAAGGGGCGTATGCCCTCCACGTGTCTAACCTGGGTCTGATCCCTGGCATCACATCTGGACTCCTGAGCTCTACCTGGTGTGATGTCTGAGCACAGAGCCAGGAGTAAGCCCTGAGCACTTCTGGATGTGGACCAACTTTCACAGAAATTTTTTTTAAAAAGTCTCTACATTAAACAATTTTCTGGGATGAGGGTGTAAATGGTCACCTCCAAAGGGTGGGGTCCACCCCTGGTTTGGGGAAGGAATTCACAGATTCCATCATGACTAATAATATCTGCTGCCCACAGACTACAATGCCTCCTTGAAAAATGTGATTTTGTGGGTAATTTGTGACATGAATCATTCTGTCATGGCTTTAGAAGCTGGTTCCTGATGTGTCTTGCTTTTAAAGGGAAATTTCAGCTTTGAAGCATCACTCTGTAAGGGCTACTGTGACTGAGTGCCTCTCCCAGCCACACAGCACACTGAGCATCCATTCACTCCTCAGTCCTCACCAGCACTCTCAGAGATGGCCTGCACATGGGCCCAATGTACAGATGAGAACACAGAGGCACAGAGGGTTGAATGTAGCTCAGGCAGGCTGGTCACTCTACAGGTCATTCTACTGATTCATCAGCATGCACACGGGTGACTGACATGACCAATTTCTCCACCAATCTCCCACACAACTGAAGGACATGAGCCATTTGCAAAAGCCCAGAGTAAAAGTATCCATCTTGGAGGACATACATTACAAAGTGTGAGATACAATTGGTGGTTCTCATTTGTTTGGTTTTCATTTTAGTAAGTTCTGAGACACTGTCACATAGCAACATTTTCCAGAGTTCAGCACACCTATGGTTTTCTTCTGCATTCTCCTTTCTTAAAAGATGTGACTCTAAGAGAGAACAAAAGGGAATGCTCTGCCACAGAATGGGATGGGGGTATGGGAGGGGTGGGAGGGTACTGGAATCACTGGTGGTAGAGAATGGGCACTGGTGGAGGAATGGGTACTCGATCATTGTATAACTGAAACCCAAGTACAAAAACTTGTAAGGTCAACAACCACACCTCGTGGTGTTTCACTAATAAAAAAAAAGTTGTGGCTCTAAAAACTGTGAATTTGTCTAGAACTGTATGTGCATTCTGGGTACCTGTAAGTCCTTTTATGTTGGAACCATTATCCTCAATCCTATCATTTTTAGATATGAAAAATGTGAAAAATGTGCATTGAAATGATTACTTAAAACTTCCTATGGCTTTGTTCTAAAAACCATGGTTACATGCACATGTGATTTCGTTTAATAGCAGAGTCAGGATTTTTTTCCTCACAATTAGAATCTCTAATAATAGTGTGATACATACACAATGTGACCTAGAAAAATCAGAATACAAAATAATTAAATAGCAGGGAGAAAGTGCTTCCAACAAATCCACTGGCCTCCCTAATAATGATAATAGTTTTGTAGGGTTCCTGCCTTTTGGGTATCATTTGTAGAGAATTGATATACAGTCACATTTTTTTCCCTTGTTTTTGGCGAGAAATCTGTATTCATTACAAGAATCCTACATTTTCCAGCTATTTAATAAACATTAATAAGATGTCTTTTGCCCTTGAGGAAACTTCTGTGGCTTATAGAAACCCCTATGGATGTTTATCCTCAAGTTTATCCCTTGAGTATGGTCAGACCCTAAATCACAAATGTTTATTACTTGAACACCAAGCCTAGCATCTAACACTCTCTTGAAATGTGTGGGACTGTCTTCCCCACATCTCTACGCTCTCGTTATCTGGAAGGATGGCAGTAGCCTCACGTGGAACTGGGTGGTAGGCATAAAGGAATATATCATTAAAAATTTTTAAATGCAGTTACAAAGCTTTCATGTTTGAGTTTCAGTCATACAATGATCGAACACCCATCCCTTCACCAGTGTACATTATACCAATGTCCCCAGTATTCCCACCTCCCCTCAGATCTCAACCTTCCCCTTGCCTCTGTGGCAGACAATTTCCTTCTTACTCTTGCTCTACTTTTGGGCATATGGTTTGCAGTACAGATACAGAGGCCACCATGTTTGGTCCTTTGTCTACTTTCAGCACACATCTCCCATCCTGAGCGATCCCTCCAACCATCATTGACTTAGAGATCCCTTCTCTATTCCAGCCGCTTTTCCCCACAGAACATGAGGCAGGCTTTAGTCTCATATTATGTTATTTTATATTCCACAAATGAGTGCAGTCATTCTATGTAGATTCTCAGTAGAATCTACATAGATTGCTGAGCAATGTTTGCTTGTTTTCACTTCCTGAAAAGTGAGTAGTAGATCAAATAAGTTGGTAGCCCCAAGTTTACTACACAGTATTTGGTCAGTTGGTGAGTGTTAAAGAATGAGCGAGTGAATGATCTGATTCAGAAAGTCTGTACTTTAAGTCCTTTCCTTGGAGGCCCACTCCACATGGGCCTCCAAGGAAAATAGAAAATATTTCTACTTAGAAATGGATAGAATTTTTTTTTTTTAGGTTCTGCTTTGGAGGCAGGATTTGAGGGTCAGGGTGGGAACATTGAAAATATGGTGGTGGGTAGGTGTAATGGTGATGAGATTGGTGTTGGAATCTGCTAAAAATGATCCAAAAAAAGTTTACTTAGAGAAAAGTGTGTGAAGATTGTTGTATCTCACTTTGGAGCCAGTAAGCCTTTGTATAGGAGATTACCAATATATAAGATGTCGCAGACTCATGCTCTAGGAATTCTAAAATTTTAAATATAGTTATACTGCTGAGGTTAATTTAATATTTTTTGTTTTTTTTTTAATTGGATGGTGAATTTGGGTCCAGAGGCATTTCTATGGTGAATAGTTCTATGTTGCTCTCTTCTGAGAGCTTTATTTGTGCATCTCTGGATCACAGCTGTTAATGAGCTTAAATGGTGCCAGAGACAGTTCCTGGGCATGACTTCCAGGCTACCAGAAGCACAAGGAGATGCAGGAGTTTGCCCATTCCAAACCCCTTTCAATCACACATCTTGTCCTTCACAATGCCCATGAAAGCCAGAGGACATGTGCTTGGTATCTCCCAGGCTCATGGGTGAGTCTTGGCAGTTCCCTTTCATGACTGATGGACAGCAAGGCAGAAGTGCCCTCCTCACCACATTTGCTCTTAAACATGAGAATCTTGGGAGCCCAGTAATGAACTTCTATTCCTTGCTTTTTCATCAGCAGAATATTTTCTTTATTTTCCCCAGTCAAGTCTTATATCTTTCTTTCCACTGATTCCAGAAACCCTCAATAAATCATATTTTAATGGCACAGTAAAATATAGCACAATAAAAAATATAATAGAACAATTTAAATAAAATAAAAATAATTTTATTATAATAATAATAAATAATAAACAAAAAATAAATAAAAATAATAAATAAAAATTAATAAAA